GACCCCTCGGCCGCGTTCATCCGTGCTTGCTGACTGCTTGAAATCGTCAAGACGTTGTAGGACCTTGGCGTTCTCCCTCTTGAGCTGCTTAATACGTTTGGCCATCTGCTTCTCCACAATCTCCACAATGTCGTGGGCTCTAAGGTTACGCCCCCCAAGGCATTAATCCATAGGGAGCGTTCTTTGCGATGAACGCCCCTACCCATCTGATTGACCTAATGAATCCGGCTCCAGGACCATTGGAAGCCGAACGGGATCTGCGTTCCTGTCCCGTACACCTACTCCCTCACCCTGAGATCGAGTGTTCACCATCAAACGATTGCCACCGAAAAACTTAGCAATGCTTTCGGTTCCCACAGACGGCGCCAAATTGCACGGGATAATTCCTACAATCTTGTAAGGTAGCGATCCCTTGATTGACGAACCTGAAAAGACGGGGTTAGAAGAAAGGGGGCCAGACGTGAGCCCGACGGATTCCCACAGACGACGCCAAATTGCACGGGATAATTCCTATAATCTTGTAAGGTAACGATCCCTTGATTGGCGAACCTGAAAAGACGGGGTTAGAAGAAAAGGGGCCAGGCGTGAGCCCGTGGATCCCCTCCGAAACTTAAGTCAGTAAGATCGAAGGGCTGTTTTTAGTAGATATGCTCTGGTTTTATTTGCGTACCTTTGTCCATTTTTCTGAGGGATATTTATACCTGAATTAGCAATGATTGCTCTAGATCTTCAGTCCCATCTGGACATCTCACATCTGACACACCATCCCTCGTGCTGTGAATGCTTCCCCTTTACGCCTCCTCCAATTGAATGCTAGGGGAATGGTGTAAATGCTCGGCCACAAGTCGAGCATTTATACTACAAGCCGAGCAGCCCAATCCAAGAGGTTGGCGTCTGACACCGACAGAGCACGGACTACTCGGCAAATCAGGGAACTCAGGAGAACCAATCGCGTTGTTTTGGCGCGTCAGTCATTAATGCTCCAGCCATCATGTCAGTAGGCATAGACTTGCAGAGAGCAGTTGACGACATCCTCGCATTTATTTGTCCTGTCATTGTCACTCATTTTCGCCATAAATGCAAGGTCATATCGTTTTGATTATGATGCCAACTGTTGTACTCGGCCGCTTTGTGTCGCCATGTCTCAGCTCACCCCCTCGGCATCTTCCAGACATCCTAATGACTTTATTTGGGTCACGTGTCACCCTGGGCGTTGAAGATCCATACAGGAGTCCCGCTACTAATATAATGGATACACTTACCTTACCTTCACAGCGAGGAGATTTGGTTCTTCGTCAGGAGATTGAAGGGGAAGCCTCTTCTTCGACCAAGCTTCTGGGATCACTCCATCGCAGGACACAGACGCAGAGGAGAAGAGAACATCGTTCCGTCGAAGGGTCAGTTATGAGAGAGAGACGATTGAGAACGAATGAAAAAGGACCAAAAGCCCGACATATTTATATTGTCATAAAAAATAGTACTCTTTTGTTGCTAACAAAGTCGAAGTGGAGATTTCATTAAAATTTTCCATCACACACGGCGCGTGTTTTGTATTTTCATGTATTTCCTGAAACACATTTTTTTTTCTCCTCATTTTCAACTTGTTTCCAAGACAATATATATGAAATAAAAATAATTTTCAAACATATTTTTATTTAATTTTTTAGTAAAAATTAATAAAAACAAAAACATAAAGCACGAAATAAAAACAGTAAACAAACAGGGCCTAAGAATCCAAACAGATTCTTTCTTGACCCGAAAAATAATAAACAGATTCTTTCAAACATAATCTTGCAGCCAATTCCGCAACAAAAACAATATGCTTAGTGGCACCAACAATTTTGAAATATTCATATTTTGCAATTTATTTTTATCATTTATACTCCTGTTAAGTATAACTTTGTTTATAGGCTAGTTTGGTAATCTTATTGTAAGAAAAAAATAATATCTAATGTATAGTAACACTGTTTTTTTTTTTTTGGGTCATGTGTAACACTGAAATAAGGATAGATTCATGACAAAAGTTTTTTTGACCCAAATATTAATTTAATTTAATTATTTGATGGATAAAAAAATATTGGTCGTCAAATGACACATTCTCACCGGGCTGGCCGTATTACTCATCCAAAGTACGGAAAAAAAAAAACACGGGTTGATAAAGTGTCAATCGGTTTAAACTTTAAAGCCCGACATATTGGTCGGCGAATGTCAGTTCTTCGTTGAAACTGAATTAGTTGTGACAGAGAGAGAGAGAGAGAGCAGAGAATGATATCGGAGGGATTCGAAGACGAAGAGAAATGGCTTGCGGAGGGAATCGCTGGCATTCAGCACCACGCCTTCTATATGCATCGTGCATTGGTAAATTTTCTTTTATCATTTTATCAAAATAGTATAAACCCTAACTTGTCGACGAGTCCCCAACTAAATTTATATGCTATTAGGACTCCAACAATCTCAGAGAAGCTCTCAAATATTCAGCCCAATTGTTGTCGGAACTTCGAACTTCGAGACTATCACCTCACAAATACTACGAGCTTTGTAAGTTCTTCGATTGTACCATTCTATTTATTAGATCGGTGTCCTATTTTTCTCTGATTCTGTACTTTATTGGATCTTTTTTGTAAAATGAATTTATTTCATATAGATATGCGAGCGTTTGATGAACTGAGGAAGCTAGAGATGTTCTTTAAGGAAGAGGACAAGCATGGTTGTTCAATCGTCGACTTATATGAACTCGTTCAACATGCTGGCAACATTCTGCCTAGACTGTAAGTTGCAATGAACTGAGTTTGCCACGATTCTCTGAATCAATTCTTCTCCTGATGCCAATTTGAAACGATTCGTGCCTACAACGAGAAGTTATAGATCATTTACGTTCAGATCCAATCTTTTCTGATCTTTTGATCCATTATCCACTCTTTCTGATATGACTGCATCCTACTATCCACCATGTATTGAGACTTGGTGTTTTGGATCTTTTTTCTCTGCTAATTAGTTGCATGTTTGTTTTGGCCATGTTCCATATTACATGATTTACGACTCATGCACTTGATTTATACTCGTGATGAAAAGTTACCTCATTCTATTATTTGTCACCTGCATATTGGCAACGGTTAAAATGCTAGGCCTATGCGCCAGGCATAGCTTTCAAAGATTTCTGACGACCCCAGGTGATAGACTAAATGATTGCCAGATTAATAACTTAGTCAAATGGAAAAATTATTTTTGGATCATTTATCCCAATTACTAGTTGGGATTCGTGCTCACTTGAGCCCACATTAGCGCCCAGTATATCAGGTGTTTATTGATTGCACACATATCTGCGTATAAAATTTAGTGAAAAGAATTATAATTGCCCCTTATATATGTGACATTGATAAGAAAACTAATAAAATTCTATGTCCAGGAAATTCTCAATCTCCCATGAGGTCTCGCCCATTAGTGTCCAATTTGCTAGGCAAGTGCATGAAAACTGTGGTGGCTGCCTCAATCATGGCCGACTAGGTGAAGGTCATCTAGGTGTAGTGGGTAACTTGCTTCGGCTAGGCAGTCACCTGTAAGGCTGTAACAATTATGCTGCCAAATGCACTCAGACCATTCGACCAGTAGAGTGAGGACTCATTTTGTGAAATAAATATCTCCCACGCTTGATTGCATGAGTCATTTCATTAATTTTCTGCACATTTCTTCCTTTATGCATGTGTATTTTTATATGTTTCCTTGTACAAGCAAGCCTGTGCACACTACTAGACATTAAATGTCTTGTCATCTGTCAGGTATCTCCTATGTACGGTAGGATCGGTTTACATCAAATCAAAGGAGGCTCCTGCCAAAGATGTTCTTAAAGACCTTGTTGAAATGTGTCGTGGAGTTCAACATCCCATACATGGGCTCTTTCTAAGGAGCTATCTTTCTCAAGTTAGTAGAGATAAGTTACCGGATATTGGCTCTGAGTATGAAGGGTGAGACAATTGGCTGTGTGAATTTGCATTCTTTTTTTTTTAACACTTAATAGGGGGTTTTGATGTTACAAATTCTCTCTGTCTAAGAAATATTTTACACTTATTCTAATATTTTATTTTTTCCAAGCAGCTCTTTGGCCTACCAGTACTTCAGTCCTGCTTGGGATATGTATATTTGTTTCCATATGTTTGTTTGGATGTTCTGAACTAACTAATTTAAAGGGTGTAAAAAAAAAAATTGTGTTCTAGAACAAAAAAGCTAATATGTTGCTTATTGATGTTCTAGTTTATAGATCTTATATTTTCACGAAATCGTAAAGCAAATAGTGTTAATATGAAAATGATTGGTGGAATATGATTCTTAAAGATATGAAAATAACTATTTCTTTCGTTCCCATTAATGGGGGTCTCGGAGAAGTTGATTGGATAGAGATCTAATCATTGATATTATTTGCACAAAATAGTTGCCCTCATATTTAAACCCATAACCATAAGGTTACTGTGCTGATTTCTTTAAAAAATAATATTTAGGTCATTAGGTGAATAGTGGTTGCATATAAAAAAGTGCCCAACTTTTTTCTACAGTCTGAATATTGCATAAAATAACATGATGGATAGTATTTGGTCATTTTATGACAGTGGTAAACTTTTCGGGCTAACAACCGTGAGATTGTGGCTTTGTGGGTGAAAAGGTTAGGTTATATCTAGTCCACCCCTTCTAGTATCTTCGATTTACAGGGACTAAACTAAACAACATTGATATTTTGAGTTTTTATATCAACGGTTATTTTCTTTTTCTTGTCCTTTCTTTTTCACATTTTTTCTGGTTTTCTCCTTTGCAGCTTTAAGCTCTTTTTCAAATTCCCTTATTGATCATGTGGTTTTTTTACCTCTAGACTCATGTGGTCTTAATCACTGGAACTTTGTGTACAACACAAGTGAGAGGATCTTTGTTTTCACTATCAGTGTAGTAAAAATTAACCTAATATCTGCAAGCGAGTTCTGTGTGGGTTTGCGTTTGTTAACACCACATTTTAGTGTTACTGTTTGACTAGAAAGTTACCTCGTAAGACAAAATCATCAATGGAATGGTGGTGTCTTACTTTCATGATGATCAGTTGTGGAAGTGCATTTTTTATTTGGTTGAAACTTCTTGAATTTCTGTATCATTGTGCAAATTGGGAATTAGTAATTGGATGTAGCCGATCACAATATTTTATTAGCTACTGAGGCAGTCTGTTTTCACCCTGTAGAGATGGTGATACTGTCATGGATGCTGTTGAATTTGTTTTACAAAACTTCACAGAGATGAATAAGCTTTGGATTCGGATGCAGCATCAGGTTTGTTGGAATACCTCTGTTTTGACATGCATGGCACCTGAGAACTTGCATGCCACAAAGGTGAAAATGAATCGTGAGGGCATGATTTTTTGGCCATGCAGGTGTTCTAGTGCTTGTGATACATTCATACTCTTTGGTGATCCTGAGTTGAGGACTTCATTCGGGCTTTCTGGTCTGCAGGGGCCTGTTCGGGTAGAAGAGAAACTGGAAAAGGAAAGGAGCGAGCTTCGTGATCTTGTAATATTAATGCTCTGAAGCTTTAAGATTTTTCTAGATTATATAGGTATGGACAAATTTCTATGGAAATGTTATTCAGCTGTCTCTACGAATTTTCAGGTTGGGAAGAATTTACACGTTCTCAGTCAGATAGAGGGTATTGATCTTGAAATGTACAAAGACAATGTTCTCCCCAGGATCTTGGAACAGGTCTCAATATCTAGTTTGTTTCACAGCTTTGTTAGATGCGATTAGGAAAGACTATGGTATCACAATATGTAATCTAATCATCTATGGAATGTGGTTCCAAAATGGTATCTGCAGGTTGTTGACTGTAAAGATGAGCTTGCCCAATATTATCTGATGGAATGCATAATCCAGGTCTTTCCGGATGAGTACCACTTGCAAACTCTTGAGACGTTATTGGGGGCTTGCCCCCTACTTCAGGTGTGTAATCTAATTATATCATGGGTATCATCTCCTTTTCAAATACTTTCCCTTTTTCTGAAACTAGCAGAATCTGAAATCTACTTCTAGTTTCCTGATCCATTATGTTCGGACTAGATTTCATCATGCAGGACTGGACTAGACATGTGAATGTTTAGAATGTTCTTTGTTCTGCTGTTGATGCCTATTGGAGTGCTTACGTGGATGTTGAATTCTTCACTTGAAATCAATTACTATTATTTCTAGTTGGTTGTTGACCTATTCCTACTTTCTCTTAACAACTCAAAGAAGGATCTATGATTTAACCAGTCATGAAGAGTGAATAATGACACGATGAAATGCTATTTGTAGAATGGTTTGATGTCTTCCTACTTGCTCTTAGGAACTGAAGCCTGCTTTATGTTAGGAATGCTCCATGTTTTATGCAGTTGTGAAGAATGGATAACAATATGATACTGTGTGGCCTTGCTAGCCAAATCTGTTACTTTGTATTTTTGTCCTATCAAAGATATGTTTGGTATGGGGAAAGGAAGGGAATTGAGTGGGGCAGGGATGGTAGAGCTATTGGGAAGTGAAGGGATACGGGATACCTCCTCTCTTCTATTGTTTGGTACAACATAAAAAGGAAAGAGAAACTATTGATATATTCTTTATCAGTATGCTTTAATTCAGTGTATTTATAAGAAAAAAGGAATGGTGATTACGTAATGCATTTGTTTGTCCTCCCCCCCCCCCTCTTCTCCCTTTTTTCGCCTCTCGTATTTTCCAGCTTTCACCTGTACCAAACATATTGTAAAGTCCTACGGCACTCTAAATTAGGAATTGATATTATTAGCTGCATACCTCTCCTTCTGGGTGATGACGATGCATTCTATATGGGTATAGAACCATAAATATGCTTTCATATTCATGTTGTTCGTAAAATTTATGGCAAGCATAACAAAGTCGCTTACCAGAATTTCTTCTTATGTGGCATCATTTTTGATTCTCAGCCAACAGTTGACATAAAGACAGTTTTATCACAACTAATGGAGAGATTATCAAACTATGCTGCTTCAAGTGCAGAAGTAAGTCTTTCATGTACTTCTTCAAAGGTCACGCTGTTATCTTTCACTGATCTGTCTTTTTCCCCAGGTATTACCAGAATTCTTGCAAGTAGAAGCTTTTTCAAAATTAAGCAACGCCATTGGAAAGGTAAAGATTGATGTTTTTAGTAAAGCCCCGCACCTTCTCTCTCTCTCTAGTTTTTCCCTCTTTTCAGCTGTTTATCTCTATTGAAGTATAAATATTAAAGTTACCCCCTCTGAGAGCTTAACCTTTTGGGGTAGATGATTGCTTAACCTTTTGAAGTAGATGATTGCTTAACATGATATCAGAGCAGGAGGTCCTGTGTTCGAATCTCGCTGCCATTCTAATTAAAAGATTTTCACGTTGAAGTATAAATACTAAAGTTACACCCTCTTTAATAGCTTAGGAGTAGATGGTTGTTTAACAATCTCACAAGTATGATAGTTGCCGACTTATGTAAGAATGTCTGGTTTTAGTCTTTTAGAATAAATAGTTCGTGGCTGGCATGACAACTTCTTGTCTGAGTAGAAAAGTCCCAATTTTTGCAATTTAAAACATGCCTTGACACAGATGTTATGGACATGTTCTTTTGGATTATTCATGATGTTGTTCTTATAAATCAATTTTACTTTGCAGGTCGTTTTATGCCCACTCTTTGGAATTTTCCCCTATTTTGAATTAAACAATTTTAACTTTTAAATTAGTTAAAATTTGCCAGATTGTATGTTGATAAGAGGATGTCTAATATGTATCTAGGCACACAGTTTTGTCGACATATATTTGTGATTGGTTTCTATTTCCTGCATTGCGAAGTTTCCTGCACATATATCTTTGAGGCAGCAAATTATTTATGAGGAGGATGCAAGATATACCAATTTCATAAAGACTTTCATGTTTGATGAAGGAGCTACATACGTTAATTGGTCTAGGATTAATGATTGGGAACGGCCAGTTGGAGCAAAGAGTATTAGCCTAGGTAGAGGAGGGTCAATAATTAAGCTTAAGCTCTTGGTTCTTATCGAGATTGACCAACGATTCGATGCGGCTGTGTTAAGCATGACACACACATGAACATACATGGCTGATTAGAGTGCTGTTAGACCCTATACATGACTTCCCTCTGCCAATACAAGTCCAGAACCCTCTTCTTTTGGAGGCAGATTTGCGCTCACCTTCTCTAATGGAAAGCATACCTACCTAGTAGGGTCCTTTTTCTGATGAATGACTTGCTGCCAAATCAGACTCTCTCTTTGAACTGTACTCTCTGGATCAAAACAATCGTATCCTTCTTTCCTCCCATGCAGTACTCATACTGGAAATGACGATCAAGGATGGCTCTATCAATTGCCATCTACTTTTCAAATACCAGAGTTCAGTCTCTTCCCACAAATGAGTGAATCAGGGAGGATGTGTTTGTGCAGAATAATAAACAACAGGTTAATCTTCATAAATTTCAATGTAAATGTGAAATACTCATAAAAGAAAAGAAATGCAGGACGTTAAGGAATTCTGGTTGTTCATCTACTTAGCTCCTATTGCTATTGATTGGAGAGTGGAGTTCCTTACATATTAATGAGTTTTCTTTTATGCCCACCTGGAAGAAAATATAGAGTAGACTTATATACCAAGAAAGAGCCAAACACAGTATCGTTGTCTGTACCATGTTTTAAAATTGATATGAGGAAAATAGTAAATGATCTTCAAGATTATGTTGAGTTTAAATTTCACTAAATTATAATTATGCACCATTAGGATTGGCATGCCACTGAATCTCGCCTTAGCTTCTCTGGGTGAGTCTGTACACTCCTGCTGTTATATCTGGCAATGTTCTTGCAGTCACCTTGAAAGTTCCTCCCCAGGTGCTTTAGTTTGTAGGGAATGGGCAATCTCAAGCATGGGATATGTTTCTGTTGTTGAATACTTAAGCTAGTTTGGGTTCTGCTATTCAAAACTTCTGCTTGCTTTGAAGTTATCCTTAGAAGTTATTATTAATTTTGTTGTTTGGGTATACCTATGCATGTATAACTAGACTGATATATATATGCCTTTGGTTGGGGAGCATTGTTTTCTTTGCAATTGAAAAAGTTGACTTACTTTGTTTTAATTGTAGGTGATTGAAGCACAGGTTGACATGCCTATTGTTGGAGTCATTACTTTATATGTATCTCTTCTGACATTTACCCTTCATGTTCATCCTGATCGTCTTGATTATGTGGATCAAGTGCTGGTATGTTTCTTCTCAGGTTGATAAAAAAACAAATGAGATGTGTTAACATGCTATCAAGAGGGTGTTTTTTGTAAATTTCTTCCCTTTCCAAAAAAAGAATGATTCATGTTCGTACTGTGCTAATTATTGACAGGGGGCATGTGTAAAGAAACTATCAGGCAAAGCAAAGCTTGAAGATAGTAAAGCAACAAAACAAGTTGTTGCGCTTTTGAGTGCTCCATTGGAGAAATTCAATGAAATTGTGACGGCCCTGACACTTTCTAATTATCCCCGTGTCATGGACCACCTTGACAGTGAAACGAATAAAGTCATGGCGATGGTTATCATTCAAAGCATAATGAAAAATAACACTTGTGTGTCTACTGCCGACCAGGTATATTTCTTGTATGGTGGTTTTATAATTTTGATTTTGCTCTTAAAATTATGTGGCTTGTGTCCCTTTTTCAGGTTGAGGTTTTGTTTGAATTGATAAAAGGGCTCATAAAGGATCTGGATGGAACTCATGGTGACGAGGTGCAAAAGATATTTCCCTTGACAGCATTTAGATTCAATATTGTTATTGGTTTAATAGTTTTTGGACTATGTTGCTAATTATTTTGTACTATACTTTTAAATTTTATGTAGGATCACTAATTATTTTGTCCTATACTTTTCAATTTTATGTAGGATAACTTATCTCTGCCTTATCTTATTTCTGAAATATAGATCTTTAAATATCCAATTGCTTTACATAGAATGATCTCATTCTTTTTCTTGTGTAATTTGTCAACCAATAGCTTGATGATGAGGATTTCAAGGAGGAGCAAAACTCTGTTGCTCGCCTTATACACATGCTGTATCATGATGAACCCGAGGAGATGTTACAGGTAATTATAGTGTTGGATATTTTTTCTTGTGTAATGTTGTTGTCGATACAAATGATGTTTAATTCTTGCCAGAATTTATTAGTTCCTTATTAGAAGGTAATGTATTTTTTTTTTGAACTGTTTCAGATAATATGCTTGGTGAGGAAGCATATAATGACTGGAGGCCCAAAACGGCTACCTTTTACAGTTCCTTCTCTTGTTTTTTCTTCACTCAAGGTTCGTTTCTCCTTTTCAGAACTAGCAGTGTTTTTATGCTGTTGAATCTACTAAAGAAGAAGTTGAGTATATCATAGCTGACCTCACCATGGGCTAGCCCATACACCCACTGCATGAGTGGAATACTACTTAGTCAAGTAGAAAGGCCATCCCGAGGCAAATGGGCTGAGACTTACAATTCGAAGACCGAGTCAGAAACTACTGGACATATCGCCGAGCGACTCTCAACGAGGACGTTGAGACTGTTAAAAAAAAAATCAGTTTTTTTTGCTTAATCTGCCATTACTAAAGATTAAGGAGTACACAAAATAGCATTTACGGAAATGTTCTAATATAGTAAAATCAAACATTGAAGTGATTAGTTGACAACAGTCAAAAGATGGGCGCCTAATTCCAGTGCAATAGGGGTCTATCAGTGCAAGCGCTTTATCACAGTGCAGGATAAATTGATAGCGAAATGGCACCGCTAGATCGCGTAGCAAGTATGATGTTGCAGATCTTGAGAATCTCTCCCTATACCCCAAAGTTAGGCTTCAGTACGGTTTTAAGTGGCCAGAGATAGATAAGTATAACGGAACTGGATACATGACAAAATAGGATAAAAAGAGATATAGAGTTTAGATGGGCGTAAGGAATGGTTGCATAAAAGTCATTGAGAAGTTAGTTTTCTGCTATAAACTTAGTGTTGAGTTTTTCATGCCGTATGCTTTCTTAATTTGATTTGGGTGCTCAAAACTTGTTTGTACCTAAATATATACATATTAATATATTATGCCCCTTGATAGTGCATCTGATCCCTGATAATAATGCTTGTCATGGTGGACACACACTATTCAAGTTTTTTGATTTATGAACTTATAGCTATCGAAACATGTATAATGTTAGAACAGGAGTCTCTTCAAACATGTTGCAGGGGAATTCCTTGTTTTATTTTCTCAACATATGTATTTTGTTCTGCAATCATCACTTTCATTTTCTTCTTGGGACTTGCATTTACCTATGCCCAGCAGAGGTATCAGTTCTTGTGTGCATGGATTGTTTGACGTTTTATACTGCGACCGACAATTTAACCTCCACTTAAGTTGTTGCATTTGGCTTGCAGTTGGTCAGGAGATTGCAAGGTCAGGATGGAGATGTAGTTGGAGAAGAGGTACCTGCAACACCCAAAAAATTTTTCAGCTCTTAAATCAGGTAAGAGTAAGACGGCTTAACAGGTTTTGAATGTTTTGCTTCCATTTCAGTATGTTGTAACATATCTACAACATGCGACAAGAGGATGTTGGACAGACAGAGTAACTCCTGCTTTTTATGTTCCAAAAATAATTGAGAGGTACTTGTCCCTTTGGATGTGCATTCCTGCTCAAGATTGCTTTGTTATGAGCCCTCTTGACATGAGTATTTGTTCAACGTGGCCGCATATAATGCAGACAGATTGAAATCTTTGTTCAATCTCCCACGTGTATCTCCCTTCCTGTCAAATTTGAAAAGTCGTTTGCACATTATGTGCCACAGACATATCATTGATGCTTGCATCTTATATGTTCTCATGTATGCGGTGGCTCATCATTTGTCCTCCTAGCATGTGATAAGTCAAGTTTTCTGTCTGAGATTATTGAGGCTCTCTTGCTTGTCCCACGACACCTGATATCTCTTCATTTGTAACTTAGTGCGCATGATAACACTGTCAATTTGTTTCAGACCATTGAGACTCTTTCATCCGTTCCATCTCCTGAACTGGCACTGAGGTTGTATTTGCAATGTGCTGAGGTAAGGCTTTGACTACATTCAGTACCACAGAACTGTATTTTAGAGAAATTACATCACAAAGCTTTTACAATTCATACTAGCAGCCAGGATCTTTTTATGAGGGGGGCCAAATGGTGACGTAACCAGACTTTTATATTCATGGAGAGTCACTCGCTAAGCTATCACTAATATTAAATTTTAATTGCGTAAAATCTATACAAATTTATTTTTTTACATGATAGATCAAAATATTACTTATTTTCAATAAATAGAAAAATTAAATTCAAAATTTTTGAATGAATTAGTTGTAGAACATTTTTAGAGTAATTCATCAAACAAATAATGATTTTAGTCAATTTTATCGCATAATAATTCAAGAGAAACTACAATTTATCATAATTTGAAATCATGTATGGTATAATTTTAGAAAACTTGAGTGCTATAACAAAAAAATATATTGTGAGGTGACTAAAGGGACATGCCCCTCTCCCTTGGCCATAACATGGCTCTGCTTATGCCAGCAGCAAAAGAAAATTGATGTTGTATTCAGAAAATTAGTCACGTCATTTTCTAGATTGAAAAGGTGTTTCCTTAAACAATTCCTGGGGCATTAGCAGGTGTTGGTTGTGACTAAGTTCATATGCACTGATTGTATATGAAAATAGCATATTATGATCACCATCATATTTATTCATGTTTCTCATTAAATTGAATTTATGCAGTCTTCTGTTGGTTTTATTTTCCACTGATCATACACTGAACTACTTTTTAAGTCCTACATCTGTCTATGTGCAAAAATAACTTAATACAGTTTTTTGATTTGCTTGTTCTCAGGCTGCCAATGACTGTGATCTTGAACCTGTGGCGTATGAATTTTTCACACAAGCATTTGTACTATATGAGGAAGAAGTCACGGTAATTGCTCATATACCAGTCTCCTGTTGCTGAACTTTCTTAGTAAATGTACTGACACATGTCTAATTGTGTTATCCTCTCTTATTTTGATTTTGAACACACCAGGATTCCAAAGCCCAGGTGACTGCTATACACCTAATAATAGGGACTCTTCAGAGGATGAATGTATTTGGTGTTGAGAATAGGGATACCTTAACTCACAAGGCCACAGGGGTAATGATTCTTGCATATCACTGATGCTTACTTATCATCTGATTAGTTTGATTTTTAGGCTGTTTTATGCAAATCTTACTCTGATGCTTTTCGTAATCTCAGTATTCAGCAAAACTTTTGAAGAAGCCAGATCAATGCAGAGCAGTATATGCATGTTCACATCTGTTCTGGGTTGACGATCAGGATGGAATCAAGGATGGAGAAAGGTGTTCTACCTTGTACTTGGCGTTATTATATTCAACCTAGGGTTTGCATGTTTCATTGCTGTATATTCTTTTTAGGGAATCTGCATGTTGGGCATGTTTATTTGTTATCAGCTTCTACAAATTCTGAAATTTTTTCTTCATTATTTTCACTGTTCTACGTTTCATTTTCTGGGAATAGGTGTTCCATCCTTGGCACTGAATTCTTTGTTTCAAATTTTTTACCTGAGTTAGGAAGAAGATATGACGTGCTAATGTTAGTTGTAATTTCAGGGTCTTGCTTTGCCTAAAACGTTCACTAAGGATTGCAAATGCTGCACAACAGATGGCCAATGTTACGCGGGGTAGCAGTGGACCAGTTATACTCTTTGTTGAGATACTTAACAAGTTAGTGGACCGGAGTATCAATCAACTCAGTAGTCGATAGTTTAGGACTTCGGGTTTTACATAATCGTAATTTGTCTTTCATAAATGTGCTTCAGGTACCTTTACTTTTTTGAGAAGGGAAACCCACAAATAACTAGTGCTGCAATTCAGGACCTTGTGGAACTGATCAGAACTGAAATGCAAAGTGATACCACAACCCCAGATCCAGCTTCAGATCCTTTTTTTGCCAGCACATTGCGGTACATTCAGTTTCAGAAACAAAAAAGTGGTGCTATGGGTGAGAAGTACGATCCGATCAAGGTGTGACATTTTTAGGGCTTTGTGTTAGTTGATAAAAATGTGAGGGGCAGGCAAACAAGGTTCGAGTGGAATGCAGCTGAATTGGATGGGGAGCAAGGAGATGGCTGCATGCGTTTTCAATTTCTTCACTCTGAAGAGGTGATGAGGTGGTTTGGTGTTCTGGATGAGGAAAGAAGTAGTTTTGCTTCAGCACATATCCTGTGCACCCAACCCAACGTTGTTTGTAGCATTCTTATGTTTAAGAGAACCCTGTGGGCTTTTTTTTTTTTTTTTAAGGAAATTACGTTTGAAAGGGGGATATCTTTTATTGTTGAGACATGCTGCTTGTGTGTGTATATATATATTGGTATATTAATTCATTTATAATTTGTTATAAATGGAATTTCTTGCTTAGAAGAAGATATGATATTATATGATGAGGCAAACTTGTTTTTTTCGAACCTGTGGGTTAGATTGAATCCATGATAAAAATTGTGTCATATCACTTGAGATAAAAAATTTAATAAATATAAAATTATTGATATTATTGCCCAAGTATAAATTCTGAGTACTTACAATAATCTAATAGCCACAGATACTGGTCGACTCAAAGAATCATCTTAGAATTAATTATACACGATTAAGCTACATATGTAAGTTCAAACTTTTTTATTTGCTTGATTAAAAGAAGGGTATATTTGAATATATATTGAATACTCAAATGATCTAAAGTGGTAAATTGGGCAACATAGAAGACAACCACAAAAAAAAAAAAAAAAATCCCGGTGCAATGTACAAATCACAGTAGCAGCTAGACCGCAGCCCTTACAATTAAAACCATATCTCCCTCTATAATGGGAATTTAAAAAACAGTTTTTTTTTTTCAAAAGAAAAATAACATTAGGAAAAAGGCGAACAGCTAGATAACTATGAATTTAAACATTTACATTTGACAGAAGCAAAAAAACATCACCGATGAATGACTTTATGATCACATGTAATCTTCAAAACAATAGAGATCATAGATTGCTCATCTGTCTGCGGCAACCATAGTAGTATTTGCACCAAGAATGCCTATTGCATATGCGCCTATTCAACATCCAACTTATAAAGAGCCTCCCAGTACAGCAATGTGAAATATAGGTCATAAACATTAATATGCAGGTAACAAACAGTTACTTTATAGTAAGCATCTTCATCGCATTTAGTTAATACATGAGAGAAGTCTAAACAGGAGCAAATAGTCGTCTGCTTGTCACCAAGAAATGCTAGTCAACCAATTACAAAGCATGAAATCCAGTACAGCAAGAAACAAACCACCTGAGGCCTCACAGTAATTAATCCCTACTAAGTCGGTGGAGACTATACAAAAGGCTTGCTGCTTTCTGTAAGGGAAAGAACTAGAAAAGCGGCGGACAGACTGCATTGAGAGAAACTGATAGGTCATCTTATCTTCTGACAAACCTACTCTTCACTTGGATCACAAAATGGAGCAGGCTTTTTGCCCCTTCTTCTTCTTCTTCTTTTGTTTGGGTGGTTGGAGCACTACCTTAATGGCTGCATCAAAAACTCCTTTCACATTCTGCATTTACAAGGAGACAACACATGCCATCAATGTACAAGGACTGAAGCAACTTTCCCACTTTGAATTAAGATGAGAAAAGGATGTACCTGCTGTGTTTTTGAACTACATTCAATGTATGCAGGAGCTCCAATCAATTTCCTCAGCTCCTCACCCTTCCATGAAAAAGGAAAGAGATTAAAGATGGCAAGATCCAGAAGAAAGAAAAACAGAAGATTGACATGGAATGCCGTGGTGCTCACCTGAGCTGTGGTAATGGGCACCGCACCTGGATGGTCTACAAAAAACTGCTTATCATCCCTAAGATCTGCAGAAGAAAAAGATCATAAAACATGAGGCACCTTCGTCACAAGACATACTCTCGACAAAGTCGTCAAATATACACTCAGATAAAAATTTTCAATGCACAACGGATGAGACATACTAGTGGCAGATGGATGTACCAGTAACAGTTTAAGGCAGAGTTAATACACGATCTATCTAGGTTAGCAACAAAAGCAAGGCATAGGAAGCTTTCATTATCAGTCCAACATCTAGTAGAAGTGTAGAACTACTGTTTGCAAAAGTAGAACATATATCTTTTTTCCAACATGTTCACAAATGAGGGCTCAGTTGCAAACCACTACACTTACATGCCAACTATAGGATAAGGTAAACTCATTACTGATCAGGTGTTCGATTGGGTATCTAAATTCTCCCTGTTATTGAGTACATTTAAAACCTTGGATAAAGGTCCTAATAGTCCCTATTTGGTTTACAAGACTAGCCCAAAACAAACAAACAAACAAATACGAAGCACAGTCTAATAGTACACGATCTATTGGAGAATAGGACTCTTACCAAGCTTTGTCCCAACAAGAATTATTGGAACACCAGGAGCATAATGCCTCAGTTCAGGAATCCACTGGAATGGAAGTCATGAGAGAAACAAATTGTCAGCACACCAAGAGTGCATAGCATAAGAAAATGTTGCCCAAGAAATAGGACTTTATTCTAGGGTCCTAACCTTCTTTACAACATTTTCATAGCTGGCCTTGCTAATGAGAGAGAACGCCAGAAGAAAGACATCGGCTCCACGATAGCTCAAAGGTCTTAACCTATTGTAATCCTCTTGACCTGTTCAAATAATTGGTACAGTTAGTCCAAAACAGGATTGTCAGACACATAAGACTGTCAGTTTTGATCATAGCAGTCCAAAAGTACCAGCAGTATCCCATAAACCAAGGTTGACAGTACTCCCATCAACAACCACATTTGCACTAAAATTGTCAAAAACAGTCGGCACGTAATCCTGTTTCACAGTACGAGAGAAAAAGAAGTCAAAACTCGAGAAGTGGGCAACTATTCTCCCAAATACAACTACCAAAAGCAGAGATAGAACAGGGTATCCAAAAAGAACCACCAAGCACAATCATAAGCACATAAGATTCCAGACTGATACCTATTAAGCAATTAGCATAAAATGGTCCTAACTGCACAAATTTAAGCATTAAACAATGATAGTTTTGAACCCAGATTTCCTTACATTCAAAACCCAGATGTGATTAGCATTAAACCAACATAAAAAAAAAAATTCTCTCCAATGCGAATTAACAACAAATTTTAATGAAAAAGTTCAAAAAATCAGAAAAGATCAGGTTTTGTCTACCCTTTATTCGAAAAAGAAAGCATATTTCTTGCACAGCGGCGAATCAAAATAAAAAAATTGCAAAGATTACCAAAAGAAATTAACATTTTCAAGAAAGCCGTTCAAATCGAAGTACCAGAAGTTAGAAAAGCTCACCGTAGGAAAAGTGTTGCTGGTGTAGGAAATCAACATGCAGGTTTTGCCAACAGCACCATCGCCGACCGTCACGCACTTTATGAACCTCGACGCGCTCATTTCCACCAGCCAACCACCAGATCTTTCAATAAATCAAGAACAACCCTTCTCAACAACCCTCCTTTTGGGTCTGCTTCTTCAGATTCCAACGATCCTGGTTGAAATTGGCATCGGATCAAGAGAAAAAAAATCAAAACCCTCAAAACCCTAACAAAAATAAAGCAGTGAGTCACAAATTTGAGCAAGATCAAACCTTGATTAAGAATGGTTCTTGAGTTATTAGACAGAGAAAAGGGAATGTGGGTAAACAGAGAGAGAGAGGACACTAAACTTACCTATGGGAGGGGGAAACAAATGCAGTTGAACCGTTGGATGATCCAGACAACCTTTTGCCAGCTAATATTATCGAACTCTCAGACACTCACCCTATCATTTGCCACAAACGGAACTCTCTCTCTCTCTCTCTCTCTCTCTCTCTCTCCTTTATTATGCCCCCATCGGCTCAGTTCAGGTGCTATGCTGCTTTAATTTAGACTAAATTACATGACTAATCCTTGAATTATGATCCTTATATCAATTAAACTTTTAAACTAATTTTTGTATTAACTAATCCCTTAAACTTAAATATTTTAGCAATTGAGGTTCTAATTTTCGTATTAATTGAACTCCTAAACTCTAAAATTTTAATAATTAAGCTCTTATGTCTCGCATGCTCATCTCATCACATGAACATGGACTAATCCCTCATTTGTTGCTCTTGTGATGAACACGTGAGATATTCTATTCAAAAATTTAACGACTACTTAAATAAGAGCTTAATTGCTAAAATTTTAGAATTTAGGGGTTCAATTAATATAAAAAATTAGTTCAAAAGTTTAATTATTTTATTCGGTTCTTATAATTTGTTCCCAAACTTCATTCTTTTTTTCAATTTGTGTCCGTTTTAATGAAACAAATATTCAAATCATTTATTACACTTATACAATTTTATCAAATACTAAAAAAATAATAATTATTTCATTGAATATTATAATCACATAAGCCAAATTATGACTTTGATAATCAATTACAATTGATCTAAAAAAATTAGAATAGACCCCAAAACTTTATCGATCCACAAAATTTTAAACGCCACTAAATAGTAATTTTAGTTCTTATAAGTACCAAGCTCACATCATTAATTGTGTTATTTTTTATTTGTTTTGTTAGACAATTCGCTAGATACCCAAGTCGTTCTACCTGTCTCCTTCGACACTTATTTATTAGTGATTTTTTTTTTTAAAATCCCTTTCAGTGTTTATAATTGTTATTATACGGGGCTACGTCTTAGAACTCCATTTGGTGAACCCAATTGGTAGGATAAATCATTCTATCTCGTAGCGAAGAAGTAGGTAAAGACCTATTCACATTCTGTGGAAAAAAAAAACCAAAGGTTAATTACATTAGAGGTCTGAGATTTGTCTTATTTTAGTCCCTAATATTTCAATTGTATTATTTTAGTTCCTGAAGTATTAAATATGTTTCTATATGGGTAGTTTTTGACTAAAATTTGGATAACTCATGATCAAAATTATGTAATTTAAATAGATTTTTAACTAAAATTTAAGTAAAAATTTGGTCAAGAGTTATCCATATTATTTTTTTGTTCACATTTAAATATCATGTGACAAATTTGTGATAAAAAATTATTAATAATTTGAACACTGTCTACTTAAGGGACCATATAAAAACATATTCAATACTTCAGGGACCAAAATGATGCAATTGAAACATTAGGAACCAAAATGAGACAAATTTTATATTTTAGAGACCTCTGGTGTAATTAACCCAAAAAAAAATAAATATGCAAAGAAAAATTTTTACCAGTAATTTCTTATTATTTATGAGTGATTATAAGTATAAGAATTTATTGATTTATCATAGAATCTTAAAAGATTATAAAGTTACTCTTCCCAACAATTGATTTGTCATAGAATCTTAAAAGAATATCTGCCAAAAAAAATGGCAGCCTGCAACGAACGTGCACGCATGATTGGATGACCCCTTAATAATTCAAGTATTATGGTACCGTAGACTTTAACCTCAACTTATCCAATTCATCCAGAACTTGATCAATCAACATGCTACGACAAAATAGATTTCTACTGTGGAATGTTTCCAAGATCAATCCTTAAAATTGACCCACCCGCCGGCTACGCCAAGTAGTTTGTACTTTGTGCTCCAAAGTTTGTGAAGCACTTGGGAGGAGCCCAATACAGAGCCTCATGTACTTGTTCTTTTGCTGACCCTCCATATTTTCTAGGGATATGTGCTTAACTTTATAACAATCTCTTTAGAACTCTGGACATTACTCACTAGCTATATGTGCTTCACTTCATAACAATCTCTGTAGAACCCTAGACATTAATTACTTTCAAGAGTTTGTTTTTTTTAACAACGAGGGGTTGCCCGAGTATGTTTGTGTGCACATCGATTAATTATCTTCTTAGTACAATCGTCAATTAGTTTGTCGTTGGGCCTTATAATTTATCCTTTGACTCATTCTTTTCACGTACTCCTTTGTCGTTTTTTAACTCTCCTCACTCTCCTCCTAATTGATATGATGATCCGCAAGAGAAAGCAAGATAGTCTTATTAGTTAGGGCACCCTAAATAGGCAACCAAGCAACCAAGCAAAAAGTTCAGGCCTTACTTACATATGAGTAATCGATTATGAATCATTCCTATTGGAACTAAGGTACTTATAAAGAATAAAGAGTTATGTTAGATGGATTTAAAAGTTAAACTTAAAAACTAGGCTTGATAATCCTAATTATTGAATAGGTAGTGAGTCATAATAAATGTTGCAGGGAAATAAATTGTTATAATTATTAAATCTAGTTTTTTTGTCTACTTTTTAAGTCTATACAACATTACTTAGGAGATAAATCACTCATGAGTTGACCCAAAAAAGTTGCTAAGAGTCAAATTCAAGATATCTGAATTTATAACTCATTTTTGTTATCACTTGAACTACTCATTGAGATTGATCTGAAAGTCTTTCAATTGTCAAAGTTCGTCTTTGCACTCGTTTGATAAAAAAATTTAGACGCGTGATACTTGTATTAAAGTCTCTTCTAATTTTTGAGGCTCGTATTCGTTATTTTTTTGGTGTTTGCTAATAAGTCCATATCTGCATTGAAAATAGATTCTTTACAGGTAATCTATAAATAAATTGTTTATAAGTAGTCAATTAAAATTGAGGAACTACACAAATTCATTGAGAATTCTTAACATTGATTTACATGTTTATGTAACTCCTAAATTTTGATGGACTGTTTACGAGCTTGCTTGTAAATAATTTAATCCCATCTGTATTATGATACTAAGTCATGAAATTGTTGAGTAGTCTACACTCCAAATTTTGTGAAGCACATGGGATGAGCTGAAAAGAGAGCCCCATGGCCATGTGCATGTGCTTTTTCGTGACCAACTTCCCACCTACTGATCAATAGCTTCTTAATTCCACTTTCTTTGGTACCTTGTGATTTTGGTGAGATTCCACTGTCATGTCCCTTCTACTTCTACTGGGGTGTCATTTTTTTCCCCAGCACAAACCTGATTCGAATCGAATCCGACACAAATTTGAAAATAAAATAATTAGTTGACACGAGTAATAAATGAGTCAAATTAAAATTTGACATGAATAACATTGATTGATAAATACTGTAGATAGAAAATACAAATTTTATCATTTTTTAAATAGTATTATTTTAATTGTTGTCAAATTAAATAATTTTTTATTGACACGAATATTGATACGAACCCGACACATACTGAAAGTGATATGACACGAAAATAATACGATCAAAAGTGACACGACATAAAAATGATACGACCAAAAGTTTATTTTATGACATTTTAAACATTAAAACATAATTTCATTTTCAGCAAAATTTCAGAACATACTTGGTAAGGAAAAGAGAAGCGTACATAATATTCTTTTGTATATCTTCTGTGTAGTGTACAATAATGGCTGATGAACAAACTTCATGCTCAAAAGAATAGGCACTGCAAATGAGTCGTCAAATAAAGGGGTAGACAACGTTTCATGGTAGGCATGGCATAAAAGATTGAGACATCCACATGATCAGAGAAGATGGCGCTTCTTGGATTATCTCCTCATTAATTTCCTCCTGAATGATAAACATTTTTAATATGCACTACGTGTCAACTGTTGATAAGCATTACCTTATCTTATTATGCTTACAAATTTTGATCCTCAATTGTCAAGCTCTCTTGATTATGGACTTGTATGTTTGTTTCCTGTTGTAGACTAACTAGTTGTTTGTAGATACTCCCAGGATTGCTAATAAGCTGGTGATGGCTACCACTTTCAACCACCTTCCCACGTTGTAACACGGCAATACTGTCCGCATCACGTATGGTTGACAATCTATGTGCTATCAAAATTGTTGTTCTGCCTTCCCTAAGCTTATCAAGAGCTTCTTGAACTTGCTTTTCGGAAACAGTGTCCAAAGCACTCGTTGCTTCATCCAAAAGAAGAATTGATGGGTCTTTCAGTATTGCTCTAGCAATCGCTACCCTTTGTTTTTGTCCACCCGATAACTGCACTCCCCTGTCACCCACCTGAGTTTGGTACCCTTCAGGCATTCTGCTAATGAAACCATGAGCATTTGCAGCTTTCGCAGCCTTCATTATCTCAATTTCTGATGCCTCTCCATTCCCGTACTTAATGTTTTCATAAATTGTAGTAGAGAACAATGCGGGCTCTTGCTGCACTAGACCTATTTTCAGCCTCAAAGATTTTAAGTTCAAGCTCTTAATATCAAATCCATCAATCAGAACTGTGCCTGACGTAGGGTCATAAAATCTCATCACCAGTGCAATCACAGTACTCTTCCCTGATCCACTTTGGCCCACTACTGCCAGACTCTTTCCTGCTGAAATTTTTAGCTTTAATTCATCCAAAATGGCGATATCAGGCCTCGTGGGATACTTAAAACTCACATTCCAGAACTCTATATCTCCCTTGATATCCGTTACCACTTTTGCAGTGGGATTGTCAGGGTTTATGGCCGTTTTCCTATGGAGAATATAAAAAATCGACCCAAGTGCTTGTGATCCCTTTACAATGTCAGGTGCAAGAGCAAGTGTTTCTGCCACTGCCAGTGCTGTGACTATTAAAACCATGAAGGACTTGATCATGTCTCCGAAGTTTGAATTATGATGCTTGATCAAAATCGACGCATACCAAAGGCCAAGAGCATAAGAACAAAATGCAAAGAGCTGTGATACACCATACCCAAAACCTGATATGTGGCCACGCAGAAGTGTTTGCTTGTTTGGTTGGTTGAGTTCGCAGGCAAACTGAAGTGATATCCGCTTTTCAGCACCAAATGCTGCAACAGTACGAATATTGGTAATTGCTTCACGTGCTACTGCAGTAGCTCGAGCGTAGGCATGGGTGTAATCTCCTCCAAATCCTTTAAGAAATAGTTGCTGCAGATGAATAGTATAAATGAGCATAGAACATGAGAACAAATTACCAATTTCATTCTTATAAAGCAACATATTCTATGCCTTGGTTGCAATAGGTGTCTACAATGCCAGAGATAAGAAGATTACGAAACAATGGATTCTTTAGGACTTGCCTCAGTTATCGAAGCTCCAATGAGTAGGGGAAATGTGGCAATAACAACAGAGGCTATGCGCCAACTGAAACTAAAGGCAATGACAAACGCAGTCACAGTGAGTGCTACATTCTGCACAATTGTTGATAGACGGTCAGCCAGTGCACTTCGTACTAATGTTGCATCTGCTGCTAACTTCGATGTCAGTGAGCCAGTACTATTCTCATCCAAATCAAACCAGCCAATCTCATTGGAAAGAATAGCTGAAATTCACAACAATAAGTGAGTGATGGAGATGTATTGAATACCAGGAATGCTAATATTAGAGCATCTGGGACATTAAGGAGAAGAGACAAACCTGAGAACATTAATAAGCGAACTCTAGTAGTGAGTCTTTCTCCCATCAAGGTGTAGAAATAGTGTTGCAACAGATATAAAGGTATCATAGCAAGAGCAACTCCAACAAATATGAGTGAAACCCGTCTAACCTCTTGTTCGATTCGGGAATCATCATAAGAATAGAATGCAGTCAAGACATATGAAATTCCAAGAGCAAAGAGAGGAGCTTGCATGCCGGCCAGAATTGCACCCACTGACCCAAGTAAAGCATAGGGCCATTCTGGTGCATTTAGTTTAACAAGTTCCCAAACTGATGGAGTTGAAGTGAAGATCGGTGAGGCCGGGGTTTCATCACTTGGCTGCAGCTCTCTAGTGGTGATTGGCTTAAACTCTTGTTGCTGGTTGTGACTGTTGAGCATTTCGTGAAAGCTAGAAACATCAGGATTTTCACCGCATTTGCCTATACTTTGATCTTTTGTTTGCTCAGATACTTGCAAGCTCACAAGATTTGCATACTGTCCGTCCTTAGATATCAGCTCCAAGTGACTTCCGCTTTCAACAACCTGGCCATTCTTCAGGACAATAATTGTATCTACATCACGAATAGTAGATAATCTGTGTGCAACAATGATTGTTGTCCGATGTGACATGACTGTATTGAGTGCCTGCTGAACAATGAGTTCTGATTCTGCATCAAGAGCACTGGTTGCCTCATCAAGAAGTAATATCTTTGGGTTTCTTAACAGTGCCCTTGCAATAGCAATTCTCTGTTTCTGCCCTCCAGAAAGCTGAGTTCCCCCTTCTCCCACCTAAAGTGATTAAACTGTCATACACAAAACTTTGATACGGGTTTGAAAATTAATGAATATCTAACTAAAATCTGAAGCTCTTGGAGAGTCAAAAACAAAATAGTAAAGGTACATTTACAGTTCGACTTCCAACCAGAGCCCATGGCTCTCATTTTCACTATCGATATCTTGAAACCATTGAAAGTGATAACAACCACCAGATGACTCAAGTCAGCTGGACATTTCTCTGATCATCCTGGCCATCAATTAAGCGGTTTTGATGTGTATGGTCACCACAGTTTCCAAAACAGAAAACTGAGGGATTGAACAATTAAATAAATCTTGAAAATAAATTGGGGTTTTTCCATGTTGGGCTACCTTAAAATGTTTTCTGAAGGGGAAAAATAAAGGCACTTTGGAACTTAATAGTTGGGAAATGTAGGAAATTTGCGGAATAGAACTTAATAAATTTGATGAATGGAGAGCTATTAAAAAAAATTTTCTTTAATATGAAAGCAGTAGAGTTGAGTTTACCACTCAGCATAATATCCTCAACTCCCCAATACTTTCTAAACTCTACTAATATTTCCTCAACCTCTACGGTCAAAGAAGACTAAAAATTCTCCAAATAGGATTGACAAGTCTTTCACTACTTGATGGGTTCCTCTAGTCAAATCACCCATGCTGACTAGAAAAGATCCAATCTAAACATTCAATTATATCAATGTAATATATATGTATGCATGCATCATTATAAAATAATATTTAATGCATAATAATTTCATAAAAAATGCATCCATGATATATGTCATGAATAATACAATATTTAACCAATGGATTGAAGTTTTATTTATTTCGGATTTGACCACCAATCATGACTTAATTAATATCGAGCAATTTTAACCACATATTTCAACATCTCTCACTTAGCTATAAGCCCGAGAAGTTCATTCATAACTTAAACTCATAGCAACGACATGTCGTTTAAATTTTTCAGTTCCAATTGGTTTTATTAATGGGTCTGCAACCATATCTTTTGTACAAAGATAATCAATAGTAACATGATGTTTTTTTGTATTGTATCACTTAAATAGTGATATTGTAACTCAATATGCTTACATTTGGCCCCGATTTCTCCATTTTTTTTATCGCAACCTCATTATCACAAAAAATACGAATAGACATATTATCTACACATGCAAGCTTTAAATCAGTTAGAAACCATTTTAATCATACGACCTCGGAGATAGTCATACTACAAGCAACATATTCAGCTTCTATAGTATTTTTAGCTATGCAACCTTACTTTTACTAGACCATGAAATAGCACAACCACCAAAAACAAATATATAACCTGTGGTAAATTTTCTATCATCAATATCACCATCAAAATCAACATCACAATAACCATTAGCATATATATCATCAGCTTGATATGTTAAAAAAAAAAATTAATGTGCATTGTATGTATCTAAGTATACGTTTCACAGCTAACCAATAAGGTATACTCGGATTACTTTGATATCGACTAATCAAACTAACAACATAACTAAGGTCCGGTCTAGTGCATAACATAGCATACATAAAACTACCAACAACTTCCGCGTAGGTTTTAGATTTCATTTCTTGTATTTCTTCTTCAGTTTTAAAATCCATATTCTTAGACAATTTTGCTCATTTGTAAATGGGTGATTCAATATGTTTACAAGAATCTATTTTAAATTTCTATAAAATATTTTTCAAATAAGATTTTTGAGACAAACTCAATTTTCTTTGCTTTCTATTTCTAGAAATTTTAATTTCAAGTACATAATGCGCTTCACCCATATCTTTCATTTCAAACTTGGTGTTTAACCAATCTTTTAGTTCTAAGATTCTATTTATATCATTTCCGGCAAGTAAAATATCATTCACATATAAGGAAAGAATAATATAATAACTACCACTGTTCCAAGTATATATACAATGATCATAGTTATTTGGAACAAAATCATAAAATATAATTACATTATGAAAAATATGATACCATTGCCTCGAGGATTGTTTTAAATCATATAAAGACTTATTCAATTTTTACACCTTATCTTCTTTACTTTCAACTTCATATCCTTGGAGTTGATACATATAAATTTATTTTTTAAGTTCACCATTAAGGAAAACAGTCTTAACATTCATTTGATGTAACTCTAGGTTTAAGTATGTAACAAAGGACATTAATATTTTTATTGAGGTAAACTTAGCTACGGAAGAATAAGTTTTATCATAATCTATTCCTTCCTTTTGTGTGTATCCCTTATCTACTAGTATAGCTTTATATTTATCTATAGATCCATCCGATTTAAATTTCTTCTTAAGGATCCATTTACACTCAATTATTCTTCTATCTATTGGTAAATCAATTAACTCCCAAACTTTGTTTTTCTATATAGATTATACTTCTTCTTTAATTGCTTCTCTCCATTTTAAATGATCAATTGAATTCATAGCATCATTAAAATTAATAGGATCATTTGAAATTTCTTCACTATTGAATGCATAATAATCTTTTAAGTAACTAAGCAGATGTCTTTCCCTTTGTATTCTACTTAAAGTATCCTTGGGCAGAGGCTCTTTTATTATTTACTCTTGTGGTTGTATATTTTCATTTTTCTTAGTAATTTCAAATAGTTCAACCATTTTCTCAATTTTATCTAAGTCATCTTCAAAGAAAAATACATCTCTACTTTCATTGACTTCCACTGATCCATCATTATAGTGAATTACGAATCTATAACCAATAGAATTTTTACAATATCCAATAAAAGTATATTTTATTTATTTAAAATCTAATTTCCCTCTATTAGGTCCTAAAATTTTAACATAAGCCGAACTACCCCAAACTTTTAAGTGAGAAAGAATTGGTTTTGTATCCCTCCAAATTTCATATGGTGTCATTCCTATTGTTCTAGAGGATACTTTATTAAGAATATAAATAGCGTTAGAAATAGCCTCATCCCAAAATGTAGTACTTAAGTGTAAATAACTAAACATAGATCTAACCATGATAAGAAGTGTTTTATTTTTCCTTCTCGCTACACCATTTTGTTGAGGTGTATAAAAAATTGTTAATTAATGTATAATTCCATTTTCTTTTACAAAAAAATTCAAAAATTTTAGCCGTGTATTCACCACCTCAATCCGTCCTTAATATTTTAACTTTTCTACCTAGTAGATTTTCTATTTTCGCCTTAAATTCAATAAATTTTTGAAAGGCATCCGATCTATTCTTTAGTAAATATATATAACCATATCTTGAATAGTCATCGGTGAAAGTAATAAAATATTTCATACCATGATGGGGTTTTAACATTTAGAGGACCATATATATCCAAATGTATTAATTCTAGCAAATCTTTAGTTTTTTCTAATTTTTCAAATGGTTTTCTAGTCATTTTTTCACTTATACAAGATTCACATAGTTTTAAGTCAAGATCTATATTTGGAATTAATCTAATGTTAACCATCTTTTTTATTTTATTATAATTAATATGACTCAATCTCATATGCCATAAAATAGAATCAACATTAACATCACAAGAGACATCGATATAAACAGAAGAGGAACCAATTTTATTATTGTCTTTAGCAACATTTAAATGGTAAAGACCATTAACTTTAGTTCCCCATGCAATAATACGACTATGTTTACCAATAGAAACTTTACAAGACCGAAAACGGATTTTAAAACCCTTATCATCTAATTGTGGCACAGACAAGAGATTGCGCCGTATATTAGGTGCATAAAGTACATCAGTTAAGAGGAGGTTGTTTTGTTCGAACAACAAAATTCTCACAATTCCAATTTCAAGCACATCACAATAAGTATTATTTTCTATGTATAACTTGTGATCGTCGGTTTTTACCTTCTTTATTTCAACAAAATTATCTCTAGTCTTAGCCACATGCTGAGAAGAGATAGAATCAATCCACCAAGCAAGAGAGTCACAGTCTGCAAAAAGTGACTCAGAAACCACACATACAATATCTCTTGATCCTTTAAAATTTTTACTATTATTCTTTTGTATGCAATTTCTTTTGTAATGACCGAACTGCCCACAGTTATAATAAGTACTCATTTGTTTTCCCTTAAAATTATTATTTCTCTTGAACTTGTTATATTTTTTATTATTCCTTTTAAAATGCTTGTCTTGTCTTGGCTTAAGAAAAGATGGAATAGTTGACACATTATTAAATGGAGCACTCGTGATAAATTGGGAAGATGGGGCACTAGAAACTAGGCCTTCTCTCGGCCTCAATGCCTAATTCAAGTCCATTCTCTCAGCCTCAATGTCTAGCAACATAGGTAACTTTGTCATAGTTAAATCTTGGCCAGATATATTCAAAGAAATCACAACGAACTCCCATGAATTAGGAAGACCATGTAAAACAGTAAAAACTTGTATTTTATCGAAAATTGGGTTGCCTAGAAATATCAACCATTTAGCTATTATCACAAGTTTATGGGCCTGTTCAACAACAGACTCATCATCTTTCATAAAAGTGTCATTATATTTTTCAATCAAGAGTTGAATATATGTGTTAGAGATAGTACCATAGACTAGTGTTATAGCATCACACATAGACTTAGCAGTTTCATGTTTCTAAAAAATGACCTCTAAATCAAGTTTCATAAAAGTGAGCAAGATTGACCTATCCAATTTGTCGTTATCTACAAATTTTTCGTAAGTGTTTCTAGCAGACTCTCCAACCCTAAGAGGTGATTCTTTTGGGTATAGTGTGTCAATGACAAATTCAATTTTATCTTAAAATAATATGTGACGAATCCTACGTTTTCAAGTTAAATAATTTGTACCATTAAGTCTCTCGATTTTGCTTAGTTCTACACTAATATCTTTTGACCTCATATTGATAAATTATAAGAAAATAAATTATTAGGTAAAATTGGTTAGGACTGACCTGATTTAATTTTATTACTAAAGTGTGATTCCAAGAATACTTCAAGTAGACTGCAACACCAATTGCTTAATCCAGCAGCAACTATAATCAAGTTCCTCCAAAATTTGTCGTCAACAAAGTTCTTTGTGAAAAGAGAAAATTTTGTCATCAAGAGATTTGATAAAATGAGGAGGCTCAAGCTTAGTGAATTTTCAAATTCACGTAATTTGTTTTTTGTAAAACTTGTCGGGAAGAGAAACTTTAGGCAAAAAATCGTCTCGAAAAACATGTCAAGAGTAAAAGGCCAAATAGTTTGTTTTTTGGCTAAAGGATTGTTTAACAGAATGACTTCAATGGAGGTTAACGCCTTTTAGGTCAAACAAATTGAGAAATCACAAATATTTTGATGACAAAGAATTGATTGATTGTCTGGTGCTCTGATACCAATATAGGAAATTTACGAAATAAAACTTAATAAATTTGATGAATGGGAGAACTAGTCTTTGAGAATTAAAAATTCTCTTTGATATGAAAGCAGTAGAGTTAGGATTTCCCTTTAATGATTTTTCTCTCAAATTGGGTATTTTTTGGTGTGTTCTCTCTATATGCAGAGTACCTTATTTATAAGGGAAAATTTATCAGTTAACCGTTCAACTAGTTGTTACCACTCAACATAATATCTTAAACTCTCCAATACTTTCTCAACTCCACAAATATTTTCTCAACCATTTGCGGTCAAAGAAGGCTAAAAATTCTTTAAATAGGATTGACTAGTTTTTTACTACTTAATGAGTCTCTCTAGCCAAGTCACTCATACCGACTAGAAAAGATCTAACTCAAACATCTAATTATATCAATGTAATATATATGTATGCATGCATCATTATAAAATAATATTTAATACATAATAATTTCACAAAAAATGTATCTATGATATATGTCATGAATAATGCAATATTTAACAAACGGATTGAGATTTTATATATTCCAGATTTGACCACCAATCATAACTTAATTAATATCGAGAGATTTTAACCACATATTCCAACTGGAAAGAGGAAAACCAAAGCTTGAAGAGTTGATGAAAATACAATTCCTATAAAAAAAACGTTATGCAAGCCTGCAACAGCACATGCAACCAAACACCTTCATCCTACAAGCGACTAGGATCCCTTATCAACTCCATCAAACATACATATGGAAAGGAGTTCATGTTGTCTTTCCGGAATTTGAAATGCACTCATAGACAAGTAGGAGTACACAAATACAATCCAAGGAGTTCCTTTTTCACAGAGTTTGTAAATGAACACTTCCACGAGGTGACCAAATTCTCGTGTGGATGATTTTGTTGAAACAGTTCGTTTTAGACAATACCCAATAAATACATAATACATTTTCCATCTCTAAAAACAAACTTACTGAAAAAACGTACCTGTGTGTCATAACCGTCAGGTAAACCTTGAACGAAGGAATGTGCATTTGCAGCATTGGTGGCTTTGATTATTTGATCCATATCAGCATCTTCTTTACCATACAAAATGTTCTCAGCTATGGTTGTGGCAAACAGTGCTGGCTCTTGACTAACCAACCCTAGCTGTTCTCTGAACCACTTCAATTGGAGATTCTTCAGGTCATGTCCATCCAACAATATTTGGCCTAATGATTGGAATTCATGCACCGCAATTGACTTCTCAAATGTTTAATAAATGTACCAACAAAAGGCAGAAATCGACTCTCCTAGAAAATTTATTAATACCTGAAGCAGGATCATAGAATCGTTGAACCATGGAAATAATAGTGCTCTTTCCTGAACCACTGGGACCAACAATTGCAAACGTTCTTCCAGCATCAACTAAAAAGCTCAGATCTTCAAAAACCATATTGGACCGGGAGGGGTAAGCAAAATGGACCTTGCAAAATTCAAGGTTTCCATCCACTTTTGACAACACTATTCCCTCATCTGACGATTTAGAAGTGCTATAATCTTCCTCAATCATGCTTATGATATTTGCAGCAGCAACCCGACCTTTGGCAATGGCGGCAAGGTTTGGAGCAGCTTGTCCCAGAGCACTGCAGAGAGCGCAAATTCAGTTTTTATTAGAGTAAGATATCAAATAATGGAACTAAGCCATCCCACATCATTTTTAGTATAAACTTACAGTCCACTGAAGATGACATTGATAATTGTTGTGAATGCTTTCCCACCATTTGTGTCCCCATGCCTGACAAGTATGCTTGCATACCAGAGAAGTAATGCCCAAGCACAAAGCAAAATCCCATATGTAAAGCCAATACCTACTCCTTTTGCAAGCCCACTCTTCTTTCCCAATTTGAGGGCATTTTTAAGTGACATGGAGTACGCTTCAACAGCTTTGTCCTCTCCAACAAATGAGTGCACAGTACGAACCTGTGAAATAACCTGATCCAAGCAAACAATAAACATAGAAAATCCATGTATATCATAATTCTTAAACGAGCTCTTTTTTTAACTGATAAGACAAGCTCAGACAATTGAAAATGAACATTAGTAGGCAAACAAAAAAATACAGGGCATTGAGTCTCCAATATCTGATTTTGTAGAAACTGCCAAAATGGGGAAAAATCTGAGGATGGAGGCATGTAATTTACCTCTTCTGCAACCTTCCCAGCTTCAGCATAAGCAGCCTCACCTTTTTCTGACAAGGTAGACATAATCACAGTGTAGGCTCCTCCTGCGACAGCTATCAATGGAACAACAGCTAAGGTGAGAAGTGTAAGCTGCCACACTGAAATAAACCCCATGGCGAATCCGACAAAGAATTGGGAAAGATAACGTAAACCATGGCCTATCTGTGTTATGATACAGAAAGAAAGCACCAAATAAGTACTCGGATAATGATTGCTGTTAGTATGATATCAAACAATGGACTACATCTGTTTGCCCACATACCTTGTCACCTATTGCATCTTGCACCAGTATTGCATCACTGGAGATGTGATACATTATATTTTTATCCCGCGCTTCAGTGTCAAAAAAACTAATATCCTTCCTTAACACTGACTGGAGATACATAAATCGTAAACGAGCTGTCTGCCTTTCCCCAGTTTGCATCCAACAAGCAACACCTGAAACCATAATGCAAACAAAAATGCCCCTACTTTACACTTAGGTAAGAAAGAAAAACATTTGGCCAGAAAGAGAAATCTATTCCAGTATGACAACCAAACAAAGCTAAAAAGAACACAACGTACCAAGCCACGCTGATAACAGAACAACTACTCCAATATAAACTAGGTACATAGCATGCTGCAATAGAAGAAAATGCAAAAGTTAGTTCTTAGCCACCCAAATAGGGTAAACAGCTCTCATAGAAGGGAAACACAGAAAGTCATAGACCAAGGCCAAGGACTTTGTCTTCTAAGTTTTCCCACTAGACACTAGGTCTTCATTTATTTACAGCCTTTATCCTCCAGTGAGCATTAAAATCATTCCATGTTTAACCCCGCAACATGAGTACAAGGACAGATCATCTGCTAAGTCTCACTGACAAAACATTCATAGGATTTCACCATTGTCTAAAGAATAGTATTGAAATGAGCAGATTCAAAATTCCTGATAGCGCTCATCCAACAAACTATCAGTTTCACAATCTGACATATGGAATTCAACAATTTGGAGTCCCAATCCATATTTTCATGCTGATGAGATCAGCAGTTAATGATTACTGGAAGGAAATATAGCGGGAGCTAGCAGTGTAGGGCTTAAAAGCAGTTGCACCGCATTTTCATTCAAAGGGTTTAAACATTCTGAAAATGCTATATCTATTTAGGACAAAGTTGAGTTAGGCAGAGGAATGATCAAGCAAAAGAATGTCTTCAAACAGAAGGCATATCGTGTCTGTCTCCTTCATGACATTTACAGTGAAAAATGGAAATTGTATACGGCCAATCTTGTAATGGAAATAAACAATTTGGGAAGAGGGGGAGGGCTGGCGATGGAACTCCTAAAATTCCTTCGATGACATTTTTGCAGATGCAATACTTGGTTAAGAATGCAAAGTAATAGGTTATTCCCCAAAAATTAGATTGACATGCAAGCAATCTCATTCATGGTAATTTACTAGCAGCAGATAATGAGACAGTGAGAGCACAAGTGAGTGAGGGAATATGTACGAAGTACCTTAGAAACCTGAGAATACACTTTATGAAGGTCAAAAACCAGTTTTCCCAAAGAATCAATCATATGGCCAAACAAAATAATGAATACAGGAAGTGCAGCACCATGGACGCAAGCTCCAATGCTTCCAAAGAACATCAAAAAGTAGTCCAGTGTATCGGCTGCAGCAAATAGGCCAAAGTATGAAACAGTCACTTTTGTTCTTGAATTTGACTCAGGTGGCTGCTCCATTGGTGGAAGTGCATTCTGGTCGGAATTTTGGTTCGCATGAAGTTCCACTTCTCTCATTGCAAAATGTGGATTAAGTTTCAGGGAGAGACAGCAAGAGTGAAAGAGGAAGAGGGTTCTACCAATAGTTTTGGAAATACAAAACGAAAGGAACTTGTCATGGACAGTTAGTGGAGGGGGGGACTTGGGAGGTCAGTTCCCGCCAATAAATGAAACGGTTCAGTTATGGTTGCAACCATAAATTCGGCTCTTAACCGTAGTTTGAATCCTGGGTGAGGTTTAACGTACGCTTCTCAGGGAACCATACATTCTAATTGGTTCAATTAAGACAACAACCTTTATGCTCCTTTTCTCCTTTCATTAGGGACCTTTATTCCTACTTTGGTGGTTGTTGTCGATAACTCTTATTTAATGCTATTCGGGCAATCTTTTGAATAACCATGAATATATGGACCACTGAACCATCTGATCTGTTTAATAAAACTTGGACCTTTATAGTACATAGCAAAAGCAATGGTCTGCAATTAGAGATAATTACTGAACAAAGGGAGTGAATGATAAGTAATCTCTTCACCTTTGGGCGACAAACGAACGAATTACGTCTCATTGATTGTCCAGGATTGGCTTCTTGGCAGTAAAATCCACTTGAGTTTCAGTTTCCATTTCAACAAGCTGGTACTTATGCTGTAAAACTCGAGCATACGTAAACTCTTTCGCCTTAATCTCTACGCTGCAACCCATGATGACAAAGATGGTTCAGAAAATAGTTACAACTCAGATCAAGTTATGATTCAATGGGAATAAGTTCTGAAAAAATAATTTTGAAATCATTCCTCAACTGTTAGGATTAGTAACCTCACCATATTAAATCGTACATTCTTAATAACTTCAACATAGTATCATAATTTGGTATCGTAAACTTACTGTTGGTTTTTTTTTATGGAGTCTAATTTGTATACGTGATCCAGATGATGACCCGCCTCGAAATAATGTTGTATGATTTTTAATGGAAAATTTTTTGAGGTTTAGTTTATGGAGCGAAAGCTTGGGCCGATAGGCCCAAGCCGTAGCGCTCATAGACAAGCCTCGTGGGGGTTCGGGGGCAACGCCCCCGAGAAAAATTTTTTTTGGGCCCGTTATACAACCCAGTGCGTAGGACATATAAATCCTGTTGTTTTGGTGATTAGGGTTAATCGTGGATTGTACAGCCGCTCTCTGTATTCAACTCTCTCAATAGTGAAATCCCTGCAACTTCGTGGACGTAGGCAAATTGCCGAACCACGTAAAATCTGTGTCTTGTTCTTTCTTGTTTCTTATTACTTTATATTCTTGATTTGTTCTTCAATTGTGTGTGTTTGTTAGTGAATTTAAATCTTGTGAAATCCCAACACTTACCCAGGTCACCTGACCAAAAAACAAAAACACGTGCTAGCAATTGTAGCTGTCTCAGTGACTTGTAAGAAGTCTGATCCCAAAGGAGTCACTAATCACCCCATCATTATCTGTATGCTTGCATAGAGATAGAGATTGAGCGTGCAGAGTTAATAGAGGACCCCCTTTTCTGGATGGACCACAACAATGAGATTGCAGTTACACTTCATAATTTCATAACTTCGTAGAAGGAAAATTCCTGGAGGAAAACTCTAGAGTCTGCAATTATAAGACATCATCCAAATCTCTATGCTATAAGTGTTTTGATCACTAAAGAACTATGAACCTGAAAATTGGGCATCATTCTTACCATTAACGGTACTAAATCCCAGACATATAATATTGCAGTCGACAGTATATTACTGTGAGTTCTGATAATTCAAAATTAGTACAGACTATTTGGTAAGGGGATAGGGGGGGTTTGATAAAATGGGTTTTGGGAAAGAGTAATGTTACATGTACTTAAAAATTAGGCATAAAAATTATATTAAATAATTGTAATTATTGAATAGACAGTGGGTCTCAATAAATGTTGGGACCTACAGTGAAATCAATAGTTGTAATTATCAAGTCTAATTTTTAAGTCCATGTTACATTCCTCTTGAGAAAAATTGTACTCCCAAATCTCATATTTGTATAAAAAATTCAGTCTCGGATTTTCAAGCCCGGCCCGTAGTTGGCTCGAAAATTAAACTCGTGATCATGAGTTTCGTCAAATTTAGGGGTTGGATGGATTTGGGAAGATGAGTAAGGGATTAAAAATCTAAAAATAATTGTATCATTTAACATGGGTATGAATTACATTGATCAAGGATAAAATAGTCATTTACAGGATAAATAGTTGTGAATAATTATGATATATTCGTGAATCTTACATGTGTATGTATTGAATACCAAACATAGGAATGAACATGTTTGAACGTTAAATCCTATCTTTGCAGAGAGAGGTTTGGGTTTGGGAGAACCAATCCAAACCCCTCCCTAAAATTCATCCAAACAAATCCTAAGAGTATCTTTAATGGTCACTTTATTCTTATCCAACTCTCTACTTTATTGGAGTTACTAAAAAAATTATATTATATATTTCAAATTTTTATAAAAAATACTAAAAAAAGACATACCCAATACACGAGGTTTCCGTTCTTAACTCAAATTCGTGACCTTGAAACCACAATGGAACAACCTTACCATTATACCAAATTACTACACCATCCAACTATGTCCAAGTTCTCTAATCAAAAAAAAAAAAAAACTATATCTAGGTCCGCTTGTTTATGTTTTCATTTATTTTTCATGACTATGTCTCTATTTCCCTTCACTTAGGACATGCCAAAACAGAAAGGAATAATATGAGTCACTGAAGAATGTAAAACAGAATTTGCTAAAAGTACCCTTTTACAGAGTCGTGCAGAAGAAAATGTAAAACAGAGAATAACAGGACAAAAATTACAAATGCATTTTTGCCAAAGTGAGGGGTACAACTGATACCACAGTGAAACATTTAATGTTCCAGCTCCCAACAGACTGATAGATCGTACTCAAGACTATGATGTAAAAGTCCAACATACATGAATCAAGTGATTGCATGACCATTCGATCCTGTTGCAGGGTTGCCAGCTACTTTTCCTTTTTTCCCTGGTGGTTCCTTTCAAAAATATTGCATGATCTTGAGAGTGCATCGTTGCTGAATATCCACCCCTAATTGCTCATTGGCACAATATAACAAACACGTAATGGGTCCACCCACAATTAGATATAAACCTAAATCGTGGATATGTCTCCTATATAAAATTACGTTTATCTAACAATCTTAAATGCATTAATAGCAGAAAACCCTACACTGAATGCATGGTCAATATTCCGAAATAAAAATCTCAAGAGGTTTGACAGAATACAAATGGACTAAGCTTAAATTAAAGTCAGGCCCAGCTTCAATTCGTTACAATGTGGTAGACCAAACGTCAACAGCCCTTGAATGTATTTTGGAGCTCATTTCGGGCTGCCAATCAGCCCAACAATCATGCCCAACGTGTAGTTTTTGACGAACCTGGATTGGCCTCTTAGGCACAAAGCTTTGGGCCAGAATAGAAACACTAGATCTTCTACTGAGCCCATTTAATCATAATTCTGACCTTTCTCATTGGTCAGAAACTAAAACCAATTGAACCCCAACCAAAAAATGAAAAGAAAACTAAAACCCTTAACCGTAACCCCTATCTCTCTTGTGTTGAAATACACAGTTTCAGAAAGATGAAGAAGGTGAAGACAGAGAACTTTCATTGCTGATTTATTTTTCATTACAACTTAATCTATACATGATGTTGTATTTATACACAATTCTTAGACTAACAAATTGTCAACTCTGTTACAGATCTTGCTGAGCTGGACAGGAGTTAGTTACAACAGTTTCACATGTGTTGATTAGCTGGATTTGGTTGAGTTGCTGCAGTGTGTTGAGGTTCATTGTAACTAATAGTGAGGAAGCTCAATTGGTTAATACACCCCCTCAAACTTATGGGGGGGGGGGAACAACCATAAGTTTGTCTCTGAGCATCAAAAACCTAGTTGTGGGAAGACTTTTGGTGAAAATACCAGCTAGTTGATCCTTGGTAGAGATATAATGGACTGCAAGAGATTTTTGATCTACCCTCTCACGAATAAAGTGAAAATCAATCTCTATGTGTTTGGTTCTGGCATGAAACATTGGATTTGAGGCAAGAGCCAAAGTGGAAATATTGTCATGCCAAAGTTTGGGAGGAAAGGAAGGTTGAATATGAAGACTTTGTAGCAGTTTCTGTACCCAAATAACCTCAACTGTAGTATGAGCAAGTGCTCTGAATTCTGCCTCTGTGGATGCTCTGGAGATAGTCTATCGCTTCTTAGTGGACCAGTGAATAGGATTATCACCCAGATACAGAAGAAAACCTGTTATAGATCTGCGATCAGTAGGATCTCCTGCCCAATCAGCGTCAGAAAATGCTGAAAGACTAAGAGAACTAGGTTGATAGAGAAGACCAAAGGTATTTGTTCCTCTAAGATACCTGAGAATACGTTTGACTGCCGCAAAATGAATGTTTGTAGGCTGACTCATGTATTGACAGACATGATTAATAGCATAAGTGATATCTGGTCTAGTGAATGTAAGATACTGTAAGGAGCCCACTAGACTTCTATACAACGAAGGATTTGGTAGAGGAACACCAACAGTCTTGCTAAGTCTATAGGAGGCTGCAGAAGGTGTTTTGCAAGGCTTACAATCAACCATCTTGGCTTTGTGAAGCAAATCAGTAACATATTTCTGCTAAGTAAGAAAAAGTCCTGTAGAGGTGAACTGAACTTGTATTCCAAGAAAGTAATGAAGAGGACCTAAGTCTTTCATATCAAAAGATTTATTAAGATTGGACTTAAGAGTTTGAATGTATGTGAAATCATTACTAGTGATGATAATATCATCCACATAAAGAAGTAAGATGGTGAGAGAACCTGAAATAGATCTAATGAATAAAGATGGATCAGCTGGAGAAGCATGAAAAGAATAAGTGTGAAGATGAGTAGTGAATTTCTCAAACCAGGCTCTAGGAGCCTGTTTGAGACCATAAAGAGATTTGTGAAGTTTGCAAACATAATGAGGAGTAAGAGGATCAAGGAAACCTGGGGGCTGGGTCATATAGACATCCTCATGAAGAGAACCATGTAAAAAAGCATTCTTGACATCCAACTGGTGGAGAGGCCAATTAAAATTTGTAGAAAGAGCAAGAATGAGTTTGACAGTGGCATGTTTCACCACAGGACTAAAAGTTTCACTGTAATCAATGTCAGGTTCTTGATGAAAAGCCTTTAGCAACAAGTCTTGCTTTGTATCTAAAGATTGAACCATCAGAATTTTGTTTAATGCGATAGACCCATTTACAACCAATAAGATTCTGATGAGGAGATGGTGGAACCAAGGACCAGGTACCTTGCTGCGGCAGTGCAGAAAACTCTTTGGACATAGCTTGTCTCCATTCAGGAGACTTGGATGCTGAGGTAAAGGAGGTAGGTTTAGCCAAAGTTGTAGTAGCTAAGTAGACCTTTGGTTTGAAAATACCAGACTTGGATCTTGTTGTCATGGGATGAGTAGAAGGAATTGTGGCTAATGGAGGTAAAACTAGAGGTATAGACACTGAAGACTCTGTGAGTACATGACTCTGTGATGTAGTAATACGACATTTGAAAGAGAAGATGGTGGAATTGAACTTGAAGACTGAGAGGACTGTTGGACTGAAGATAAACGATTAAGAAGAAAAGGAGATACATCATGCTGGATAGGGGAAGGATGAGTAGAAGGATGTGGTCCCAACACTGAGGTTGGAGATGAGGATGTGTCATTAGAAGAAGAAGGCAACCAGTGATCAAGATTAGGAGGAGTAAATTGTGGAAAGTGAACAGAATCAGAAAAGGGAAACAATGTTTCATCAAATATTACATGTCTGGAGATAAAGATCTTATTGGATTTAGGATCATAGCAAAGGTAACCTTTGTAATCAAAAGGATAACCTAAGAAAATGCATTGGGTTGTTTTAGGTTGAAGTTTATGTTAGTTATAAGGTTTGAGAAGAGGATAACATGCACATCCAAAGATTTTAAGAGTTGAATAATCTGGTTTGGTGTGATAGAGAAGTTCAAAAGGTGACTTGGATTTTGTAGTTTGACTAGGCATTTTGTTGATGAGATAAGTGGCTGCAGCAAATGCATGAAACCAGAAGGATGGAGGCAAAGATGCTTTAGACAAGAGAGACAAAGCAGTTTCAGTAATATGCCTGTGCTTCCTCTCAGCAATGCCATTTTGCTGAAGGGTGTGAGGACAAGATTTTATATGATGAACATCATACTGACTTAGATAGTGCTGAAGCTAATGACCAATATATTCACCACCACCATCAGAGTGAAACACTTTCAATTTATGAGAAAATTGATTCTCGACATAAGGCTTGAACTTGGCAAAGACAACAAAGGCATCAGATTTATTTACTAATGGAAAAATCCATGTAAATCGGGTACAATCATCAACAAATGAGATGTAATATCTAAAACCATGAAGTGAAACTTGAGGTGTAGGCCCCAAATATCACTGTGTACAATCTGTAAAGAGACATAAAAAAAGACTTAGAAAGAGAAAAAGAAAGCTTAGACATCTTCCCATATAGACAATGCTCACAAATACATGAAGTAGATTTAGCAGAAGAAGTAGGTAGATTCAGCTGAGAAAGAATCATTTGATGAATAAAAGTAGATGGATGCCCAAAGCGATCATGCCAAGACTGATCAGTGATCCTTGTACCAAGATACGCAGTAGGAGTTGAAATTGGTGAGAGCATTGATGGGATACAAGTCATTGCTACTCTGACCTTTGTAGAGGACTTGCCCTGTGGCTTTGTCTTGAATGACAAAAGAAGTAGTATCAAATATGAATTGACAATTATTATCAAGACATAATTGTTTGACAAAGATGAGATTTGTAGCAATTGAAGGTACTCGAAGGACTTTATTAAGTTTGAAATAGTGAGAATGAGTTTGAAGAAGAGATAGACCTGTATGAGTGATAGGTAACTCATATCCATTTCCAATAGACACTTTGTCTTCACCAAAATAAGGAGAGGCAAGAGACAGATCTACAAGGCTTGAAGTGATATGATGGGAACACCAGTATCAGTAAGCCAAAAATTTGGACTCTGTTGACCAGATGTAGCAGCCATAGCAGTGTAGGGTGAAAATTTAGGTGTACAGTCATTGGGATTGAACTGCTGATTAGAAGAATAATTTGAGGTAGCAGTCATAGCATTGCATGAAGCTGAGGATTGATGATTTTGGCCCTGATAAGTAGTATTCATACGATGATAACAAATTGCAGCATTATGACCAATTTTGTTACAGATCTGAGAAGTAATTGGTGGAGATCAGTTCTGGTTGTATTGATTTGAGTTAGACCTCTGCTGCTGTGTGTTGAATCTGTTATTATAACCATTCTGATTTCTACCTCCTTTGTTACCATTGCGACCTATGTCCTCTTCCTTGACTTGAGTAGTTTCTACCATTGTTGTTATAAAATGACTGTCTGATTTGTGGTGCTATCATGGCAGTAGGATTGGAATAACTCACTTATGACTTTGAGTTGGCTTTGATGGATAGCTCTTCAACCTTAAGAAGAGAGTGCAGATCTTCCAAAGAAAGTGGTTGTGATCTGGTTCGAATTGCAGTTCGGAAGACACTGTACTCAACTAGCAATCCATTCAAGGTGTATATAAGCAGATCTTCATCTTCTACCAGAACTGAAACTGCTGCAAGCTTATCTCGAGACTCCTTTATTTTTTGCAAATACTCATCTTTGGATTCTGTTCCTTTCGTAATTGTTTGCAAAACAGTTTTAAGTTGTAAAATATTTGCTCGAGATAAAGAAGAAAACCTTATTTCCAAAGCTAGCCAAACTTCTCGGGAAGTTGTGTATCCTATAACATGTGTAATAGCTGACTGTGAGAGAGTAACATTTATTAGTGTCATTAGTGCTTGATCTTGGACAATCCACTGCTGATATTGTGGATTGATTTCGGTAGTAGCTATACCATTTCCATCAGAAAGAAATTGCACTGGACGTGGATTTGATCCATCAAGAAAATTGAAAAGAGAATGAGCATGTACCAGTGCAGAGATTTGAAATCTCCATGACACATAATTTGTAGAATCCAGACAAAGAGATAGCGGGTTACAAATGTTTGACAGAAGGTAGATAGGAGACTGAGATAAGACTATGTTTATAGTAGTTGAAGCTGAAGAAGAAAAGGATGAAGGAGAAGTACCTACTGAATTTGTTGTCATTGATACAGACGTTTGTCTGATTTACAGCTCTGATACCATGTTGAAATACACAGTTCCAGAAAGATGAAGAATATGAAGACAGAGAACTTTCATTGTTGATTTATTTTTCATTACAACTTAATCTATACATGATGTTGTATTTATACACAATTCTTAGACTAACAAACTGTCAACTCTGTTACAGATCTTGCTGAGCTAGACAGGAGTTAGTTACAACAGTTTCACATGTGTTGATCAGCTAGATTTTGTTGAGCTGCTGCAGTGTGCTGAGGTTCATTGTAACTAACACTGAGAAAGCTCAATTGGTTAATATCTTGCACTTGCTTCTTGTCCAAGTGAATTTAGAGACCAATCGAAGAGACATCGGCCTGAGTTGCTCTATGAACGTCCTCTACTTGGCGTGTTTTTAAGGTAAGGGAGTTTTTAGAAAAAATATGTACATTTGCTCAATTAATTTATTTCAATTTTTAGATATTGTTAGATTTGTATAGAATTGCTTTACAGAACGGTCATGGCCTATTGTGATCATCATCGTGATTTCATGTTCTGTCTCGTTCAATTTCAACTAAATATGCTCAATGCGTGCGCATTAATTAAATTCAAGCGATGAGTGAAAGGATTAGACATATGCGCCTGCTTCTAACCGTTTTTGTGTTATATCTATATTTGTGTTTGATTTGTATTTGTATATTTGTTGAAGTTTTATGAAATTGTTGATGATAACAATGAAGTCTTTGTTAACATAATCAGTAGTTCCTAAACCTATATGTCTTTCAATCCGGTAAACTATTTAACTTTTCGACTTCTTAAACACAGCATTTTTGCATTTTGGAAGCTATCTATGATGGATCAATGACGAATGACGGATGAAATTCTCGACACTGGCTGTTTTTTTCTCGATGCCAGAATTGCAGAAGTTTTTGCAGGTAGATTTACTTGAATCACTATGTCTTTCTGGCTACGTATTTAATTATTTCCGAATATACCCGGACTACCTAGTCTGCTCTGATTTCTCCAAGTGACCTAGTATAATTTTTTACATGCATGCTAGGTGATTTGATGATTCCTTGAACACTGATTCTTCATTGGCCTCTCACCTTCACTCTTTCCGACTTTTGCCCCTTTGCCACATTTAAGTTGTTCCTCTGGGATCCATTGCCCTGTATAAATTTCTCCCTAAACTCTTCTATATTCATTATGCCTATACCCTGTTGGCCATGATTAGGACTCCATAGAATTTGTGTCGTGACGACTCCACCGGGAAATTACATCAGATAAGTTTGGTCGCTGCCAACAGGATACCAGAGGTGAAAGCATCAATTCATTTAGTTTTGCGCTTCAATATATGACAATATATTATTGAAAAGGAAAACAGAATACTGAAAAAAAGAAAGAAACTAAGCAATCTCCTTGCCCAAAGTTAAATACAAGCATATTCTTTGTGCACCCCATTACAAAAACATTGGCGGTGATCACAAACTATTACAAAAACAAAAAAAAATAAAATAAACTTACCACCATCAACAAAGCATCCTTTTCTATGCTTTTTTATTTTTTACATACTATGAAATACCCGACTTAGATTTAAGACACTTTGATAACATGTAAATAGCAAGTGTAGTCTGTACAGATGTAATTTAATATACACCACCAATCACTGGAGTCGGAGAAGTCTCCGGAGACTGTTGGTCGCCCCAGCATCGATTCCGGTAGCCTCGACACTGCAACTGAGCTTTGGCCTCAGAGAAAAAGTGGGCAAAGGCAAGCAGCTTGGTGGAGGAGAGACTGTAAGCACAACAGAACCTGAGAACTTATTGTCCAACTGTTCCGTGGCAGTGAGAGCAGCAGCATCGGTATTGTTGGTGCTGCTGGCTGAAGAAGAAGATGAGAAAGAGAAAACCCTGGAAACAGCCTGGGGAAGATCCTTGGGGTCAGGTCCCAACCGGTTAGTGGACGCGACAATCAAACAATCAGATAAAACTGTTGTTCTCATCTTCATCGATTTGAAAGGGTCTTCCTTTTTGGGACTAGCGGTGAATTGTTTTGATTTTTTGGGTATGTGAGAGTGGTCTCTGCTTCTATTGTTGGTTTTTCTGTTGACTGGAGGGCACGAGAGGCCTCGACTGCGATGGTTATTGCCTTTGTGAGGTGGTCTAGAGATGGGAAGAGGAAGAAGAGGTGGCTGCTGTTGTGGTGGATGATTGGAAAGTGAAGCCGGAGGAGGGAACGAGTAGGAGAGAGAAGGTGGAGGCGGTAGCAAAAGACCCCTTTGAAAGTTTGAAGGTCGGGAAATGAATGGAGGACTGTTTCTCCTTGAGTTTCTCATGTGTTGCTGCTTGTTAGGAGAGATTAGTTGATCTGGAGATGATCTTAATAGAACCGCTTCCATGGATGATTTATCTGGTTTTCAGAAGATCAAAAAGATACCAAATTTTGAGAAAATTAAGAAAAAGTCCAAGAAAATCAAACGAGAAAGCAAAAGAAACTGGCGATGATCTCTAATAAACACGAATCAATGCCTGAAAATTTACAGATCTTATATCCTGCCGTTGAGTGAAAGCAAATTAATATAAGACAAACAAAAAGATTATCAATATTTACAGAGATTTACATACGAAAAAACATACAGCTTACAGCATAACAAAATTCTTTGATTTGTTTTTTATTGCATTTTGCAGAACAATTGATCAGAAGAAACTATATCAAGACCAGACCATCAAAAGTTGGATCTTTTACAAAACCCAAAATGTTACAAACACAATATTATTACAAACAAAACCCAAAATGTTCTCTTGTTAATCAAAGAAAGCAAGATATCTTATCTATGAGAGAGAGAGAGATTTGAATCACGTATGGTTACGAAAAGGGTTTGATTCGGTTCTAAGAATGCAACTTTCATGAGCGTGTTTCTCATCCTTCCTGATGCACCTTTATATATAGACAACGGCTACAACGGCTATTTTATTTTATTTTATTTTTATATAAAATTTCCTCCTACTATCGGTTGTTGTTGGCTAACCTTGGGATTGGAGTCCAAGACCGGGGGTAGAAATTAGAAAATATATAAATTAGAGTTTAGACACTGTTTGGGCGGCAACCGCCGATTCGATGGTGGCCGTTGGATTCTTTTGCTTTGAAATGGCCGTTGAGACAACTGTGACCGTTGATTCGTCCTTGGGTTCCCCTAACTAGGAGAACTACCCCACCTGGGTCTTTTCAGAAAGAGACCTAAGAGTAGTCTCAGCCATACACGTTTCAATGTTGTGGGCCTCCTCCTCCAGCTCTTCTAGTTGTTATGACCTCACAGGCACAGCCTCCTGCTGGAAAAAAATATCTCATGCTAATACAATTGAATAATTATAAATATGGAAAAATTTTAGTTACACTCCTTCTATTTTATTATATTTATAAGAACACCTTTTTTATTTTTTGAATTTTTAGATTAAAGGCTTTAATTAGAATATAATTTTACTAAATTGTCCATAATATATTTCAGAAAAAAATTTATCCACATCCCTCTATATATACATATTTTTAATGAAACCACTTATGTTTTATGAATTTTTTTTAATCAGCTTGAATTAAATTTTAATCAACTTGCATTGAATTTTAATCGGTCTTAATTTTGATACATAAAAAAAATATAAATTTTAATTAGTTCAAATTTTAATATGTAAAAAACGAATTTTAATTAGCTTGAATTGAATTTTAATAAGTAAAAAAATATAAATTTTAATCAACTAGATCGAATTTTAATACGCGCTAACAACTCAGGTTGAGCTCAAATCGGCTCGAATTTTAATATGTAAAAAAAGTTTAATAGCCTCTAAAAAAAATAAAGTTTAATCAGTTCAAATTGAATTTTAATTGGCTCAAATTTTAATCAAATTTTATGTAGAAATATTGTTTTGAGTTTATGTAGGGACAATTTTGGTATTTTGGATGAATTATTTTTGTTAGAAATGACGATTTAATGACAAGTGATGTTAGTTATATTTAAATATATACTAGAAGAGGTGTCAGTGATTTTTTGATAATAGAAAGAGTGTCCTTAAAGATATGATAAATTAGAAGGGGTGTGACTAAAATTTTTCCTATAAATAATTATGTAAGATTAGTGAATTTTATTAAATTATATAATTATTCATAATTTTTACATTTAAAACTTTCATAATAGGATTTATTTGTCCTATTTGTTTGTTTATTAATCATCTATTACACCCCGTATCAGTAGTAATATGATGTTAACCATTATATTGAATATTTAATAGTATTTATTAATCATCAAAAGATGCTTTATTTACTGCATAAGACATGGGTTTTTTTTTTTTTGATAAATAAAAAAAAAGGGATGGGGTCAGGAAGAGTGTCCAACGACCACCTCGATGAACCCTCACCGGTGGGATCATGAGGCCTCTGACTGCGCTTAGAACACCTCTTGAAACCAGATCTAGCTAAGCTAGCATAACGGCCAACCACCAAGCTCTAATGGGAACTCTAAGACTCGAACTCTCAACCTCAAGGTAAGGAGTAAGGTCAGTACCCCACTAAACCACCCTACTTAGTGGTTTTTAAAAAGGGGTGCAACACGAGAACTTTCCAGGTCTCAAGAGGTGTTCTAGGCACGTTCAGGAGCCTCGTGATCCCACCGGTGAGGGTTCATTGGAGTGGTCGTTGGCACTCTTCCTTTGCCCCATTTTTTTTATTCATCAAAAAAAAAAAAAACCCATGTCTTATGCAGTAAATAAAGCATATTTTTTGTTGGTGCAATAATAGAGTGTTGTTGTCTTTACACTTTGCTTACACGTGTATTCTTTGTTGGGTTTGGTTGAATTATTGGTGGACCCTTACAAACCGATAAAGAAAAAATTTCTCTATGATTCACATGTGTCCAGATCCTCTCCAATGTTGAGTTGCTATGATCTCATTCTTCTCGTAAATTTTGAGATCTTATGAGATGATAAAGTCAAATTTAATTGCACCTCTGTTGTCATAAAACTCTTCATAGACTTTTGAACAATTGGTTAATAGAGAGTCGATGATTTTCACTTATATTTAGTTTTTTTTTTTTTGCAAATCAATAACTTAGTTACCATGAATTCAAATTAAGTAATAATCGTAGCGAAAGTTACATACTATGGCGAGAGTAATTTCCCATGCATAGTCACATTGGTCAATGAATTGCCAACGAAAGCACGAAATATGGTCAGTTACCTATGTCAAAAGACAGTAACAAACCGTGTATACATTCTTATACTTATTTTTCATTGCATTATATTTTCTCTTTTATGTTTGATACAATGAACAATTGCCTTAAGAAGCTTCCACAAAGTCCTTATCCAATAGTCCGATGTGTTTTGAAATAGAAACGAACATCATAGGTCTCCATTCTAAGGCATCATCTCTCTCTCTCTCACAGACACACATTCTAATGCATTGTCATATTTATGTGTCATACAATTTGAATCACTTCATGCGTGTTATCTTGCTTAACATATATAGTTAAATGTCTTCTCGTGGGACTAACAGTATTTTAAGAACCTTGGCCGATGATATGGGTTGTTTTCAAATTAATTGACTATAAGCATACAAGTCAACTTCTAATTGAGTGTACACAGAAAAATCTTTAGGAATAGAGATGAAAGGTTCAAAGGTGTCTATCTTCTTTAACATCGCACATCATACCTCTCTTTTTATACCATCTTTGCAAACGTCGTAGCTTTTCCAGAAGACTGCTGGGACAATGCTAGCTTCTTTCGACATAACAATCCACAAATAAATATATATATATATATATATATATATATATATATATATATATAGCTTTCACTCCTAAATTACTGATAATTATATATGTTTTGGAGAGTGACGTGAAAGTGGTCATAATCAACCACTTGCATTTGCAGTTTGGCACCGACCATTTGATTAAAGCTCTCTTTAAGCATTCCAATTTTGAAGTTCATTATTCTATATTATACATTGTGACCCATTCTCAAAATTAGGTTTACAACACTAATATATTCATCGTTGCGCTTCTATTCTATTAACAAATGTGTCATTTGTAACGACTTGGACAATTTGTATCCTAATCCCCCCCTCCCCCCCCCCCCCCCCCTTCCCCCAAAAAAAAACAAAAAAAAAACATATACTCTTCACCTGCCCATTGTGATTTGGTTGGGCTTCATGATTAAGCTGTCTTAAGCTTGTGGTGACCAAATTGCTTCTTTATCATACACTCATAATTCTTATTAATGTCACAAAGAAGTGTTTAGGATGGATACCAACTTATTTAAATGAACCAATGAAGGTAAGGAGAAGAAGTAAAAGTAAAATTTGTTGGTCATATACGATTTAACCCAAATAATAACAGGGACAAATTGTAAATTTAGACATCTTGACTTTGAATACTGACAACCTCTTGAGACTAGGTTATAAGAGATTGAACCTCACGAATATTTCAATTCTAGAGCGGACGACCTATTTTTGAACAGATCGGAGAGAAAATTAGTTGACATGTGTGTAAAATGACCCAAATAATCCTGACAATTGAACCAAGATCTTAATGCTATCCAATCCTTTAATCTATAACAAAAAGTCGGTTCCTTGAACTATGGTTTAAATCATTTGTACTCCTTCATTTTCGGTTTAGATCAGGGGCTTATTGTTCCTTTAATATTTTAAGGCAATTAAGGATCCAAATACACATGCTAGCCAGTTAAAGGTTCTTCTCCAAACCAAGCCCAAAAACATGATGCCTCATAATCCCTGAGTTCCTACTTCACATTTCTTCACTTCTTTCACTATAACAACTATGTGGTTTCCTGATGTAACTCCAAGTAAAGGGTTTGTTTTTAGGTCGGTACGTGTAATAGTAAGATTGTTCTATTGTAATTAGAAATTATGTGTTTGAGTCAAAGAAATATAAAATTTTTTACATCTACATCTTTTTAACCTAATAATACAAGAGCCTCGTGAACTAGTATATTTTTATTCAAGCTTTAAACCACAATTACCAAAGTTGTCTGGGGGCAATTGTATAGAGGATGATGGACACCTTTCAACATGCAAGACACTCGATACAGTTGGAGTTTGTCATCTTACTGCTATAAGTACATGATTGCTCAATGGGCCCCAACCCAAGACAAAAATATATGGAGCAGTTTGTAATGGTGGTGGCCTCTCTTGCCTCGCATATAAACAAAATGGTGCACGTTCTTAAAAGATCATAACTTTAAGCAACTGTGGTGGAGAAGGTTGAAAAGATAGCACAAGGTAGGTTTCCGGTATGGTTTAAGATGGAAGGTAATTTTTTGATACGATACGAATTTAAAAGCGATGTGATTAATTAACAAGAGATATGTAAAACTAAGTAAGAGACAATAGCTTAATTTGGGATCCGACTCCTCTACTGTTAATTTGAAGATGATGGTTGAGTGGGCCTAACTTGGGCCAGACAGTTGTTATAAATGAAGGTGTCCAACTTGTTTATTGGAAGGCCCAGTGCAAGCCCGCCCATTTGTTGTGGTGGGTGATGGGGGTGACAGGGAAGGGTTTTACTGTGATTTCTTTTACAATAAAGCTACACTCATCCAAGTTTTTACCAAATTTTAGACTTTAAATCATTGTGAATCATAAGATTAGTAGACTCGACAACTTTTCCTAACTATGCAATGACTATCAACGTGCCACATTATTTGAGACCCAAAATTTTATAAAAATTTTGGTAAACACACTATTTCTCTTTGTTTTAAACTATGTTAAAAGCGATGATAGATTGAAATTAAACTCACTAGAGGAAAAAAAAAAAAGATTAAAACTAAACTCCACTCCTTGATCAATGAGATAAAATTAAATATTACTTATCTCTTTTAAACTTACCTAGGTTAAAAATAAAAAAAAAATTCCTAGGTTAAATTTTATGTTAGAATGAATGTAAACACATTAGTACCAAAAAAACAAAAACAAAAACAAAAAAAGGGAAGGTTGCTTTCATAAAACATTTGAGCTCAACCATTGTGACCACAATTTGGAAGTTATCTCTGTCAACTTCACATGAACGTTGGCTTTATGATTTGAGTCCAATACCCTTCAATTTATATTTCCCTACCCCCTACACCCGGCAAAGGTAATTTGACAGGTGAGGTGGGCTCATTTGTCACGCGCGCGACAAAATAATTTCCAATATGTATGGATGATCTTATCTCAAAAGTAATTTAAAATAATAATAGAAATGAATTATAAATTTAAATTTATTAATTCGAACCTTGCTAATTATTTAGAATCAGGGCGTGAAGAATAAATCTCTCGTGAATACTTTAGTCACATGAGTTGCCTTTAATTGTACTAGTTGAGTGCGCATAAATTAATTTAAATATTTTTCTATTTAAAAAAATAAGTTTAATAATCTTAGTGGATCAACATTGGCATCAAAGAGATGTCACTCTGCGATTGTACCCAAAATGACCAAGGCCATTTTTTATGATCACCAACTTTGGGGCTATTTACTCATATAAGTAGATTAAGGTCGAGAGAAATTGAGATGTTTCTAAGTATAAAAGGTTCGAATTCCATGGGTATAGCTTAAGAATAAAAGAAGAGCATTAAGAGAGTAAATCATAGGACAAACAAGGAAACCCTGATCTTAGCATGAAAATGGGAGGAGGGTCGAGAATCTCCCAAAAAAGGTAACGACAAAGAGATGCCGTTTGTGGATTATTATCTTAATCCCTCCGGTCCCTATTTTTTTCGTTATTTAGAGACAAATCTAATCTCCAAAGAAAGGGAAAGGCTATAATCGATGCCGACACCATTGGCTCTGCACTTCACGCGCTTGAATTTTCATTCAAAGCCGTTACGGATGGATCCAAAGAGTCGTTAAAAGCAAGACTGGCCGAGCATAAATGCTGTTTTATTGCGCTGATAATGAATGTTTCTTATCCGTTGATACTCCCCAAACAGAGACACTTGGATTCTTTTTGTTTTTCCTTGTCTTTGATTTCTTTTTTCAGTGTAATTCGTACCCACGAATGTTTTCACATAATAAACAACTAGTATATCGAAGATTAGTGATGTCTTTCTTAAATTTTAGATTGTTTTCTTGTTTATCTTTTTCGATTTTTTAACTGGTTTGGTTGAATTTGAAGGAAGATACAAAAGGGTCCTTACTTTTTTCTTCACTTTTCTCTTGTAATACATATGCATTGGGAAATTCTTGGAAAATTAGGGTGGAGATTTCTGGTGATCTTAAAACAATACTAACGATGGGTATAGTGACCACTGTTATGGGTTTTTTTGGATTTGGAATAGGAATCACAATTGGGCTTGTGATTGGGTATTACCTGTTCATCTACTTCCATCCAACTGATGTCAAGGTTAGTTTTTTTCTCTACTTGTTCTGAATATATGATGTTTTTGTTCTCATCTTAATGTTGGTTTTTTTTTTCTTGCTTGTTTTCCTTTCCTTTAAACATAGTCATGTATTGATCTCTGCACCAGGATGGGTGTTGGCTGATTTATTATTGTTCTTTACTCAACATTAGTGTATAGACAACGCTAAATTGCTGAAATTTTTTGTTGATATATGTCGAGTACACGAGAGACATTATAAGTGTGGTGGCATAGTCATGGGTAGTATTTTTCCTCATTGTGCTGTCTTATGGTAATGTGAACGTGCAGAAGTGAATGCTTAATTCAAGAAGTGGATTTTTGTTTTGTGTGTGTGCGCAGGGGTGTGTGTAAGGAGGGCTTGCAGGTGTGAGTACATATTCGAATTGAAAACAAAAAAGTTGATTTGTACAGTAAAAATACCTGCTGGGAAGTAATGACAGTTTTCAGCATAGTAAACATACATGGCTAGCTCGTGGAGCTTCAGATTCAATTATCTTTTGGGTCTGAAATAACGAGATTGATAGGGAGTTTTTCAAGGTTATCCTGTTTGTGCTTTAATACTTTTACATTGGCGTAATGAAACAACTCAAACTTTGTAATGCGTAGTTTCCCCAACACACAGGATTATGTCTGTATTGATGGGAGAATGTTATTGCTTAATTTAACTAGAGCTTATGTTGACACAGAAATATCACAATCATTATCAATGAATTTTAGCTCCTGGATTAAATTAAAACCTTGTATACAAATCTTGTATCCCAGGCCATATTGCAGAGTATAGAATAGAGAATAGATATTAGAAACACATTGCTATTATGGCTTGTGGTAACTGCAGCTGAATTTACATCAGATGAATAACTTATTCTCTTATATTTTTGATGAACTTTGTGCAGGATCCCGATATTTGTCCTTTAGTCGAGCAAGGGTCTCAAACTGTGCAACAATTGCTTCCAGAGATACCCCTTTGGGTGAAAAATCCAGACTATGATCGTGTAAGCACATCTACCTACATAATCGCATAATTCGTCGAAATGAAATTATTAGGCCTGACAATCAGACTGTAAACTGAATCATGTTCTTCCCACTGCATGCAGTAGGTTTGATGAGAAGATTCTTACGATAACATTTTGTGCAGGTTGATTGGCTTAACAAATTTATTGAATATATGTGGCCTTATTTGGACAAGGTATACTTAGGTTGTGTGTTCCTGCCATTTTTTCTACTTCTTTGGGTTGACTATTAATGATTCAAGGTCCTTAGGCAATTTGCAAGACTGCAAAGAAAATAGCGGAGCCCATTATAGCTGAACAAATTCCAAAATACAAAATTGAGTCAGTTGAATTTGAAGCACTGACCTTGGGCTGCCTCCCTCCAACTTTTCAAGGTTGAGTTGTTCATTCTTTCTCTCTGCACACACACAGACATGCATGCATGTAGACAGTCACCCAACTGCATATAATATGCTCGTGCCACTGTCTAAGTATACATCTTTTTTTGTCATGGTGAAATATAAATTATTATCCTATTTCAATCGACTGTAAGAAAAAATTAAAGCTTTTTAAAATGTTCACGCCCACCCAGACACGATTTTCTGGCTCCACTCCTATGCGTGGAGATAATTTGGTCATGTTCAACAGTTAACATTTTCAATGCATTGCAAGGACATGAGGGAAAGTAGTTTGAGAGGCGAGTAACATTCGCATAACCTCTTATTGACAAAAAGATTTTTCATGGATCAAGTTGAATGGTGAAGGGGTTCTATTTAACCACCCTCAAGTAGTTGGATATAACATTTCATTGATCCCATGTCTTGTATCATTAGATTGTCATCAGAATGTTTAGTAGTTCATGCATTTCACATGACCCCATTATCCTCTTCTCATAGTTCCAATTGGGAAAAGGATTTTACAGCTTGCACTTTTGTTGTGGCAATTGTCACGAATAGTCAACTAGCACAAAAGGGTGTTCGAAATGTGATTTCATTTTCAGTCTTGCCACTCATTTCTCATATACTTTGATAATGATTTACTTTGACCTTTATATGAGGCATATATGATGAAGTGATCAAAATTCAAACTAGCAGCTGTCATCTTTTGCTTTATTTAGGGAATTCTTTTGATGCAAAGAAAAATTATGGTCCATAACTTGTGTATTAATACATATGGACCAGAAAATAAACCTAATATTCAGATAAAGTGATTGTTTAAAAAGATAACAAGTGAGAGGCAGCCTTTCATGTTGGAACTAAAATCTACACCCAATAAATTGAGGATTGTTGTTGAAGGAAAATTGGCTTCCCAATCTTAGGCTGTGGTTTCTACAATTTGTACTAAACAGGTTTAGAGATTTTATCATTTCAAGCCAATCCGCTTCTGGGCATTGAATCTCTGTTGCTTCAAAGTCCTGGAAGGACATCACGGACTGTTGTATTTTCTCCCCTGCCATTATACTCAAGAAAAGTATCTGAATAAAATCAATACCTATATTTTAATTTTCTTAGAATTTACGTCAAAGATGCATCATCTTACTCTTTCCTTTTTACAAAAGAAAAAGGGAAGGAACGAAAAGAAAAGAGAAAAAATTGGCTCTTTAAGCATCAGAAACCCTTTTTCCCTGCAAAATTTGTCATACAACTTCTCTTTCAGAATGTATTATTAGAGGAAGGATATCCTCGATCATAGATGTATAATGCAGATAATTACCATACTCATTGGCAAGGCTGCTTGCTCTGTTGGCAACTTTCTGCATTGCAGTCATATTATGTCTTTTTACCTTGTTTCTTATTATTAATCATACGTCATTTAATACCAGGAATGAAAGTCTACATTACTGAGGAGAAGGAGTTGATCATGGAACCAGCCTTAAAGTGGGCAGGTAATCCCAACATCATCGTGGCAGTCAAGGCATTTGGGTTGAAAGCCACTGTTCAGGTACTGGGTCATTTAACTTTTGATGGAAAGGGAGCCATTGATCCTCGTTGAAATTAGATACTTGGTGCTGGTAGAAATTAAGATATGTTGAAGTGGCTACTTGGTGTTAAAATACCAACTTATGATAAAAATCTCTCTCTCTCTCTCACATGAATTATTAGCTTAAGTGAGTGGCTTTTTTGCTTATTTTTTGTTGATTTGTTTGGCGTATTTCAGGTGGTTGACTTTCAGGTATTTGCTTCTCCACGTATTACCTTGAAGCCCCTGGTTCCAAGCTTCCCTTGTTTTGCCAAAATATTAGTTTCGCTCATGGAAAGGGTAAGTGGTAATGGTGAGGTTGGGAAAGTGCATATGTGCTTCTGAAGTATGTTCATTTCTGGAGCTTTGAACCTTCTTCTATTTGATGGAAATGCCATTGTAATCTTGGCCTAATTATTGTTCTCATTGGGAGGATTTTGGCCATAATTATTGTCCAAGGCCATCTTCCCCTTGGTTTTAAGTTAAAACCTTCAATATCACTCTTATCACTGTGGGTGAGCATCTTATTTTTTATGGTAGTAGTGGAATTGGATTGTAGGCCAAAAATTGGCCCTTTTTTGAATCCATATTTTATTTTTCAATCAGAGCAACAGCTCTAAAACCAGTACTCTATTTTACAGTTTAAAGTTTCTTACTCTCAATCTCTATCTTTCTGATTCTGCAGCCTCATGTTGACTTTGGCCTAAAAGTGCTAGGGGCAGATGCTATGTCAATTCCTGGCCTTTATAGATTTGTCCAGGTATGGAACCATGGATTCTATTTATTTCTACTTTATTTATTATAGTTTTATGAGTCTTGGTTCGGCGAGGTGGTTCCTATTCTCCAGTTACATCCCTTATGACTTGAAGCCTTCTTCATTTCTCGCATTCTTTGCTTTTCCCCCTCCCTCTCTCTCTCTCTTCACTTTTAGTATGATTCTTTTGTTGGCTGTATTTTCTTCAACTTGATATGATCATTTTAAGGATATAATTTTTTTATTCTTTCCTTTGGTTTTTTGTGCTTTATAGAATTTATAAAAAAATAGCATCACTTCATAATATTCAAAATCCACCTCAACTTGTCCATGTTTGGAACACTCATAGTACCATTTTGTGCGCGTATGTTGGGGGGGGAGGAGGAGGGTGTTTACTTGGTTTGGTTGCTCATAAGAATTTTCTCTCCAGGAGCTTATCAAAGATCAGGTTGCAAATATGTATCTATGGCCAAAGACGCTTGAGGTCCCAATTATGGATCCTGCAAAGTAAGTGGACATTTTTTTTCCTGGGTTTTATGTCTCACAATAACCATCCTTGTCAAGTATTGACCACAAAACTAACCAAATTTACTTCTAATTAACAGAGCCATGAAGAGACCTGTTGGGATTCTCAGTGTGAAGGTTCTGAGAGCAATGAAGCTTAAAAAGAAAGATCTTTTGGGGGCTTCAGATCCTTATGTGAAACTTAAACTTACCGAGGACAAACTTCCCTCAAAGAAAACAAATGTGAAACACAAAAACTTGAACCCGGAATGGAATGAGGAATTTAATTTTGTTGTTAAGGACCCAGAATCTCAAGCTTTAGAAGTTGTGATATATGACTGGGAACAGGTATATTCACCTATCTCTTTCTGATTGACTAATAAAGCTTAAGTACCCTATATGTGTTTTCTGCCTGGATGTGGGAGATCAGAGACACAGAATTTTGCTGCCTGTCTTTCTTTAGTACTTTTCTTTTCTTCTTTCTCCTTTTTCCTGCCAAAATGGAAAGAGAAAAGGCTTGTGGTGGTGGGCATTCATCAGTGGTTGACCCATGTGGGTTTCAGGATGACTAGAACAGAATTTTTTCCCTTCATCCTCCTCAATCTTATTCTTGCTCTTGCTCTAGCTCTAGCTCTAGCTCTTCTGTGATACGTCTCAAGCTTTATATTCCCTTTTACTTAGGTGGGCAAGCATGAAAAGATGGGCCTAAATGCAATACCACTGAAGGAGCTCACTCCTGATGAGCCAAAAGTTATGACTCTTGATCTTCTGAAAACCATGGACCCAAATGATGTTCAAAACGAAAAGTCACGTGGTCAGATTGTTGTTGAAGTGATATACAAACCTTTCAGAGGTGACGAAATCTCAAATGAGAGTGAAGATTCCAATGCTGTACAAAAGGCTCCTGAAGGAACACCCGATGGTGGTGGCTTGCTCGTAGTCATTCTTCATGAAGCTCAAGATCTGGAAGGAAAGCACCACACAAATCCATCTGTGCGTTTACTTTTCAGGGGGGAGGAGAGAAAAACCAAGGTATCTAGATGGCTCTGTTATAAGAGAACATATCTTGCATATTGCAATAAGAGGCAACGTTCCACATTTCCAGCCACGAAAATCACAGATTATAGTTTTTATCTTGACTAGTACATGCCAAACCTAACAAACTATGGCAAATAGGCTACAAAAAATGGCTTTCTTGGCAACAAATGCTGCTGGCACAACATTAGCATTTTATACTAATGATTCTGCTCTATCACTTTTTGATATGATTCACTTAAGATGAATTAAATACACACTTTCGAAAGTAGTATGAAGTTCTACAGAATTAGCGGGTTCGTTAATCCCAGCCTGTCATTTTATTTATATTCAGTAGCTTTATGAAAATAAGGGACCTGTCTGTTGGTTGTGTCACCCTCAGTCATACGGTAAGGGAAATACCTTGATCCTTTTACCATTGTTACAGCTCCTAGTTTTTTAACCAGTTTACATTGTTGCTGTCTATAAATTGTAGTTTGTTTGGCATTGTTGCAGCCTGTGAAGAAAAATAGGGATCCAAGATGGGACGAGGAGTTTCAATTCTTGCTGGAGGAGCCACCCACAAATGACAAGCTTCATGTGGAAGTTGTTAGTATTTCATCAAGGATGGGCCTACTCCATCCCAAGGTACACATAATCCTCTTGCGCTGTAGTATTTAGGTATGGATTTATCTTGTCGTTTCTTGGAAATGAAACATAAGTTTGTTTGATTTTAAAAACTAATTATGGCTGCCCTTGCATTATTGAACTGTTTAGTTTGTACCGAGTTTATTTACTCAAGCAAATGCTTATCTCAGAAGTAGGTTCAGGTGATAAAAGTTTCTTTTGTTTTACATTTGTCCTGTTAGGAAAATCTTGGATATGTTGATATATACCTCTCCGACGTTGTTAGTAACAAGCGAATCAACGAGAGATACCACCTTATTGACTCAAAGAACGGACGGATTCAGATTGAGCTGCAATGGCGACCTGCATCTTGAGGGTATGCCACTTTGTTTTTTAGTTGCATGGATAAATCTAGTAGTTGTCTCTTTATTCATGGTAGTTTTTGTGAATGCATTCAGACTTGGTCTACTGCAAGGAACCTGTAAAAAGAAAATTGAAGTAACTTTTCTGTAAATTTGAGCTTGCACTGACCATTTTGTTCTGTAGTTCAGCTCTTTGAAAGCCCAAAAAAAAAGCTGCAACTTCGTCCAACACGAGGAATTTTAAAGATAATGTCATCCATTAGTCGCGTTTCCAGAAAAGAACTATCCATGAAGACGGTTTGTTTGGATGATTTTTGTTAATTAGGAGCATATAAATCAATGGATAGATACAAGTAGGGGTGTTACTTGAAAAGAGCTTCTCGGGCTCAGCTTGGGCTTGGCTTGGATAAGATTCTGCCCGAGTTCAATTCATGTTTTAAACGAGCTAAGTTTTAACAATTTTTTTGGCTCATTTTTTTAAGCTCGGTTCGAGCTTACAAAACTCGGCTCAAAAATAGTCGAGCTACTTGGTTTTGGTTCGGGCTCGCGCTTATTTTCTAAACAAGCTGAGTTTGACTTATTTTTTAGACTCGTTTAAAAAAAACGAGCTCAACAAATTCGGGTTCAAATTCATAAAGTTTGACTCAATTAACACCCTAGATAAAAGTTGATAAACTGTTTGCCAACATGCCAAAACAGGGGACTTAACAAGCAAAACACTGAAACAGCATTGCAGACTAGTAGCTTATGCTTCAGCTTCTATGAGATTCTGAAATTATCTACCAAAGATCAAAAAGTGGAGCCCCCATTGGAATGTACGACGGGAAATACTATAGGGACCTTATTTGGAGATTTTATTTAAGGATTTTATAATGTGATTTTTATATAATTATTGGATTAGTTGGGACTTCTAATAGTAATTGTGATCTTCATTAGCATAGCCCATTGGGTCCCAACAAGCAAAAAACCACGGCCAATGCCTTTTCTGCTTGGACTGCTTAGTGCTGTAGCTGCTCAATTCGACAAAGGAATACTCAGATACATATATTTTTTTTTAAGGTGGGGCTGTGAGAACGTAAGCCCCCACTGTCACAAATTATGACGTAGGTTCTACCACTTGGATAGACTTTAGACGGCACCCCTCAAGAGTGTAATGGAGGTCGCCAACATAGGCCATAGGCGTTCATGATCACGCCTCCAGAATAGTCATGTACATGCTACTAACTAGGAGTTTCCTACTGATGCATATTTTACTTGAATGGCACTCCTGTCCAACTTGAATCAGGCCACACTTGGATGGACCTTTCCCTTTAGGGATTAAAAATTTATGATCGGACTAAGGATAATGGATCAAAAGTTATGAAATTTAAGTGCGAGTCATTTGTCGAAATGGAATGATCTTTTTCTTCCATCTGCAGTCAGCCAGTGGGTCAAATGGAATGATCTTTTTCTTCCATCTGCAGTCAGCCCGTGACCCACTGGCTGCTAAATCTTACTATTATTTTTTTTCACAGGTTAGAAGTGAAGAGAGGTAATCAATAGGTAGTAACAATCTCAGGGTGATCACGAAGGTTCTTTTATTGTGAAATTTTTAATTTGAATCATAATTATTAATTTAAGAAAGATAACTGATGGGACTTTAGGTGGCTTAGTAGCCCCCAATCGACATATGCAAAAATGTAGTTATTATGGAACTTAAAAGGTTCTGAGGAATAATAATTCTGAAAAGTCGAGTACACATTGACACCAACGTTTAAGAAGACTTGAGTGAATATGACAGGGTCACTAATGAGCTCCTGCATTTTCGAAACCCAAACTAACAATCATGATTACAAAGTATTAATGACTATTGCGTTGAGTATATGTTCTTGGCAAATCCTGAGGTATTGTTTCCCAAACATTAAACGCTCGGGAATAAATGTCAAACTCCCGATCAGATGGACTTAAGTGACCCAAGGGTTAGGGTCATAAGTGTTCGACATGTCTCAAGCAATCAGCCTATCACCCTAGGAGAACCAGTCTTAAGAATCTGAATGGAGAACACTCATTACGCATGAATAATAGTGCAAGTCATTAAATATTGAGATAACACTACAAGCCATTGCACTCATTACTAATCGAAGGTATAAATACTCCTCAAAAAAATGAATAAAAATATGCAAATTACACTGAGAAAAGAGAAAACACTATACTAAAGTCTTCAAACTTCTACTGACTTAAATTTCGAAGAGGATAAGCCGAGTGTTCACCCGACCCTTTTCCTAACCTCTATTAATTGTTTTAGATTCATCATCAAGAAAATCGCTTTCTCTATTTATTGTAGGAATTCTTTCCGTGCAATAACTTGTCACTGTAACATTATCAAAGTCAAATAATAAATTATACTAATTTCGTGAATTAAATTCTATTTTATCTTTATCTTAAAATTAAAAAAGATTATAAACTAGTATAATTTTAATGAACTCAGTCGGTACAACTCTTACTACTCTTTCATGAATATATATGTGATTATGACTTTTCATCTAATACGCTGTCATGAATGCGATTATAATCTTCCACCAAAAGCTCACACTCAAAAGTCATTAACAGCAACAGAAACAATTAAGCCATTTGGACATGCCAATCCACCTACACTACCAAATGAAGTAAAGAAGTGACCGTTTGGTCTTCCCATGCAATCTATTTGATTGAACACACACTGCAAGAGAAAAATATTCTTCAACATCATTCCGAAGCCGAATAGAATGGGATTAATACTACTGAGATGATGGGTTTGCAGTCGTCTTTTTCATTTCCATCATCAATCAATCGCCTTCAAAGCTTCAAACAGATGAAAAAGCATGCTGCCTCTTTCTTTCTAAATCCAGTAAAAATATCTCATCGTTGTCATTCAATACGAGTTATATTGTCTAAATCAAAATTTCAATTTTTTGTCACAAACTTTCGTGCATCACACGTATAATTTTGTAAATTTTATATTTTACTAACGTAATTCGTGTTTAACATTATAATACAATTAGTCATTACTCGTGTTCAAAGGTACGATAAAATATAAAATTTGAGCGTCTAAAAAATTGATCTCACTTTATTAAATTTTTTTAAAATATATTATCTACAAATTAATTAAATATATGATAGAAATGAGTGATGTGATATTTTTAGGAAAAAATATATAAATAATTAAACATGTGATATAAATGAGTGATGTAATTTGACGTTTGATTCTGACAAATGAACGATGAGTGAGGTAAGTGATTGATGATAATTTTCAGGAAAAAAATATAACTGTAATAAAATTTAAACACACTCCTGTTTTATTATACAGATGTAAATGACTTTAGGAAAAATATTAGTAATTATTAGATGAGTTTATTTAAAATTGTTGGATAAATTTATTAAAATTTATTCTATTTTATATTATAAATTTAATACGATAAAAAAATAGAAATAAAAGTGATAGATAAAATGTTATATTTAATAAAAAATGATGGAAAAGTGAATTGATTAGATTCTTTTTTATTCACTAAAATTAATTCTTCTAAAATTAGTAAAAAAGAATTAATGAAAAGTTAATTATGGTATTTTTCTATATCTTTTAATATATAGGTATATCATATTTATTCTATTCTATTATATATAGATATATAACGCTCATGTTATTGAGGCCTAAAATCTAAACTAATAATGTAATTTTATTGCAATTGGATTAACACTAAATTTTAATATTTAATGGGTCACAAAGTCAATCCAATAATTATAATCAATAAATTGGGTTAATAAATTAGATTCCAATATCACTAAATTGAGTTATTATTTGATAAAATTGAGTAAAAATTTGATTTAATTGAATTTTTTGGTGAATATTTATTTTTTTTTTAACAAAATTGAATATGAACTATGAAGATAAAATATATTAAATAATTAGATTGAATTCGTTTTGATTTGATCGGAATTCAATTGAAATCTATTTTGTTTCTAATTGACCTATTTACAAGTATACAAAAAAAAATGAATTTATACTTTCAGGCGATGATGAAGTATATATTGAATGCAACGATGATATCATGTCACAATTGAAAATATGGTATTACCAATCAATAATAAAATTTTAACTGGATAAGATGAATTTCACTTACCTTACATGGGAGGAAGAGTGGAGAGTTATTTGTTTATATGATAAATTGATTATTAAATTTTGTAGGGGCTATTTACTTATTTATTTTAATATTTATTGATTAATGATATTGTATCACATTGTCATATGATATCACTGTTCTAATAAATATTATTTCGTGGGGGTGGGGTGGCACTTAGAGAAGAGAGAAGTTATGCTTTTAATCAAAACTTATTGGTAGGGGTGGTTCAGCAAAATACTGATTAAACTTCTCACGTCGAGGTCAAAAGTTTGAATTTTGGAATCTATATTAGAACTTGATAGTTGACCGCTATATTAGTTTAATTATGTTAGTTCTTGAAAGGAGTAACGAGATTAGTCAGTGATATCATGATCCTACCAATAAACCTATCCGGATAATTTCTAGACGTACTATTTTACCTATTTTTTTCAAATAGTTAAAAAAAATACCTTTCCACAAAACTGGAGAATCTCCTCTTCCACCACAAATGTAAGCACTCCATGGGTCTATCATCCAAATTGGATTTGTTGGTTGAAAAGAAGAAGTAATCTTTTATTCCTTAGAACACCCACCCACTCACTTATATTCTAGTTCTAGTGCATAAATTCAAACCCCATTACAACTTTTTTAAAATAAGAATATGAATATGTTCCTCTCCTAGTGGGTTAATACTGAAGGAAAAACGAATAAATTCTCTATCACCTTTGTACCACAACTTCTGCGGCTTTCGTATTCTCTTCAATAATCTATTCTACTAAGGAAGGAGCAAATACCCATTACTGACTACTTTTATGCTTTGGCATAAAAGAAGAATAGGGTTCATAAAGCTTCTTTCTTTAACAGTTGAATTCTATTTGTATTCGTATTATTCCGTTTATCTACTCACCAAGTCCACCCTTGGACTTGGTGAGTATACCCCCCCACCCACGTGACATGGTAGTTCCTCGATTCAACCCTTCTTAATCAAATTGTTCTTTTATAATGGGTTTGATTTTGTTCTAAGCTCCCCCATTACTCGGCGCAAAAAATTATAAAAATACCATGTCATCAAATCTAAGTCTTATGCAATTAGAAACTGCAAATTCAAAATCAAATTAATCTAAAACTCTTCAATTTTTTTTTATCTTCAAATCAAGTCCATACATGAATTTTAAGACATGCACAAAGAATGTGGGAAGTTCTCTCTCCACAAAGCTTTAATATTTTTATCAAAAATATTAGAAAAGTTTCCTGGGGGGTGAAATGGAAAATAAAGGACGGGGTTAAAATATGAATTCCACAAATAGTGGGCTAGTGTGAGAATAACATCAAAGAGAGTGACCATTTCTATAAAAAAAAAAAAAAAAAACAAGATAGTGTAATGTACCTGATTTGAAGGCTTTGAGCCACAAATCATGAGGTGATAGAAGAGTACAGAGTACGAGTGACCAAGGACGAAAACTAGTTATGACCTTCGGCCAATGGGTCCCACCCATCCCTGAACTGAAAAACAATAGGGGTAGACCTTTCACTTACAGCCAAACCCAGTCAGAGGGAAACAAAGTGTGTGTTTGGGAAAAGACGCACACAGCCTTTGCAAATGGGCCCAACTTAAAGCTCCAAAGCCCATCATCCAATTATCAGATTTCTTCTCAAACGACGTCGCATTATTGAAGTTACCTCGAACACACGACATCGTTCCGCCTTACCAGTCCCCGCTAGTCGCTATTGGGACGGTAGCAATATTCAACGGTTACACCAGGCCAGACACCTGAATGTTGTAACGAAGTACACACGTTTTTTTTTAATGTGTGGTAATTATTAGTTTTACATAAACAATAATTATTTAAAAGAGTAAAGCCTATTTTATTAAATTAATATTAAATATTATAACACGTCATGTGTACACCTGGCAAATCTGACAAGATAGCAGGATAGATAGAGCAACTTTATCATGAGCCTGTCATTCAGAGCGCCATATCATGCCGTCAAAGCGCAGGCACTTATTCTGATAAGTCCCTCACCTCGCAGTACTGTAGTGTCACCACCTCCTCTTCTAGACCCTATAACTCCGTCAAAAAATTAACGTTTAAAAGTTTCAAATCCAATCTCTTATTTTTTTTTACGATAAATTCAATCCAAATTTAGTAAAAACCTTTTATAGTAATTAAATTCTTGCCAATTTAATTAGATTTGGTAATAAAAAAAATAAAATAAAAAATATTCTACATTTAACTGCTATTAGATTAAATTTTATTTTTTTAATAGACAATAATGGTTAGTCACTATCATAATAAGTCTCTTATAATAATTTTTTTAACAAATAACAACTTTATCTTAATTGGGTGTATTTAGAGGAATTAATATATTATAAATTTATGTTGAAATAACAAGATTTAGAAGTGGTTGGAATATATCATTCTCAATAAAAAAAAATAAAGTTTACTAGAATTTTCTCTAATTTTTTTCTTTTTTTTTTTTAAATCTAAGCTTTCACAATTATTAAAAATATGATTGTTAATTTTGGAATTGCATGATTCGAATTGAATTCAAATTTGATTCTCTTGTTGTACAATTAAGCTATAATTTGTATATTAGTCAAATTGATTTGTGATTTTGCTTAGTAAGATTTCAGTTTGAAAATTGGTCAAATTAAAACCGCTTTTGAATTTTTTTTACCTTATTTTAATTTGTATATTTGGGCGGAATATTTTGGAATGAATTCAAATTACACCACTTACAACAAACTCCGTTAGTGATCGTTAACTCCGTATCGTGCCAGTAATGCAGAATCACAGGAGCAATGACCTACGAACCGGGGTTGCCACTCTCTCTCTCTCCATCGTTGTTTATTTTTTATTCTTCCAATTTTGATACTTGGACTCATGGATTCTCTGCTATCCACAAAGCTGCCAGCTGCTACATATTGAAACAGCATAAGCCTGTAACACTCGTAGTACAAAACCCACTTGTTTCGTCTCTGAAGCTGTGAAGCAAGAACAGTAACAAATAGAGATGAGAACTACTCCAATTTATCCGCTTCTCCACATTTTCTCTATCTTCTTTCTGTTTTCATCTTCTTCGTTTCATGCGTACTCTGATCTTGAAGTACTGTTGAAGCTCAAGTCCTCCATGCTCGCACCAACAGGCTCTGGACTCCATGACTGGGACGAATACTCATCGTCTCGGTCCGCGCATTGCTCCTTCTCTGGAGTTACATGCGACGAAGACTCGCGAGTCATCTCTCTCAACGTTTCAAATGTTTCTCTCAATGGCATTCTTTCGCCGGATATTGGGCTTCTTAACAAGCTCGTGAACCTCACACTCGTTGCGAATCTCACTGGTACCCTTCCTATAGAGATGGGCAACTTAACGTCTATCAGGTTCATGAATCTCTCTGCAAATCTCTTCTACGGTGATTTTCCCGGAGAAATTGTTGCTACAATGACGGACCTTGAAACGATTGACATTTACAACAACAACTTCACCGGAAAGCTTCCGACGGAGTTTGTAAAGCTGAAGAAACTCAGGACTCTTAAACTTGGAGGAAATTATTTCTCCGGAGACATTCCAGAGGCTTACTCTGAATTCTCGATTTTGGAGAGCTTAGAATTACGTGGAAACGAACTGTCCGGTAAGATTCCGGCGAGTTTAGCTCGACTTTCAAAGCTTCAGAACCTCTGGCTCGGCTACTTTAACTCTTACGAAGGAGGAATTCCTCCAGAGTTTGGTTTTATGAGATCGCTTCGACTTCTTGACCTTGGAGGCTGTAATTTGACCGGTGAAATTCCGACGAGTCTAGGAAATTTGAAGCTGTTACATACTCTGTTTCTCCAGACGAATAATCTCACTGGTCATATACCTTCCGAACTTTCCGGTTTGGTTAGCTTGATGTCACTCGATCTCTCCCTCAACCTATTAGTTGGTGAAATACCCGAGAGTTTCTCCGAGTTGAGGAACCTGACTTTGCTTAATCTTTTCAACAACAATCTTCGCGGTCCAATCCCTTCATTCATCGGAGATCTCCCCAATCTCGAGGTCTTACAGATTTGGGATAACAATTTCACGTTTGAACTGCCTGAGAATCTCGGCCGTAACGGACTGCTAAAGCTACTCGACGTGACTAAAAATCACCTCACCGGAACAATACCTCGCGATTTGTGCAAAGGAGGGAGGTTAGAGACGCTGATACTGATGAAAAACTACTTCTTCGGGGCTATTCCTGAAGAACTCGGCGAGTGCAAGTCACTGAATAAGATTCGAATCATGAAAAACTTCTTGAACGGTACTATCCCCGCCGGGTTCTTTAGCTTGCCGTTGCTGGACATGCTGGAGGTCAACGATAATTACTTCTCGGGAGAACTTCCGACGGATATGTCGGCTAGTAATCTCGGAAGTCTTTCTATGTCTAACAATCAGATAACTGGAAAAATTCCTCCGGCTATCGGCAATCTTGTGAACTTGGAGACTCTTTCGCTTGATATTAACCGATTTTCTGGTGAAATACCGGAGGAGATTTCAAATCTGAAGATACTCTTGGTAATGAATATCAGTTTCAACAACATAACAGGTGAAATACCAACTTCTCTCCCTAATTGTGCTAAATTGACTGCTATTGATTTGAGTATGAATCAGTTGTACGGTGAAATTCCAAAACAAATATCGAAGGTGAAGACCTTGAACGCACTCAATCTGTCAAGAAATCAACTGAGCGGTGCAATTCCACGTGAGATGGGATTAATGTCTGGGTTAACAATCTTGGATCTTTCCTACAATGATTTTTCCGGTAGACTACCTACCGGCGGGCAATTGAAGTACTTCGGCGACGTATCTTTCGCTGGAAACCCTGACCTCTGTTTACCGCGCCGTTCACTTTGCCCAACAGTTATAAGTCCAGCCCAAGCCTCTCACAAAATCCATACGGCCTCGTTTAGTACATCAAAGCTTCTCGTTACTGTTATCACACTCGTGACTGTTGTGTTATTATTGGTTGTCACGTACATAAGGATCAGAAACAGAAAGCTCCAAAACTCAAAGGTTTGGAAGCTCACGGCATTTCAAAGGCTTGGTTTCAAAGTCGAGGACGTGGTCGAGAGCCTGAAAGAAGAGAACATAATTGGCAAAGGTGGGGCTGGGATTGTCTATAGAGGGTCCATGCCGGACGGTGTTGACGTGGCAATCAAACGGTTGGTTGGCCGTGGTTCTGGTCGTAGCGATCAGGGCTTCTCCGCTGAAATTCAGACACTTGGAAAAATCCGGCACCGGAATATTGTGAGGTTGTTGGGGTACGTGTCGAACAAGGACACCAACTTGCTGCTGTACGAGTACATGTCAAATGGGAGCTTGGGGGAGGTACTGCATGGGTCGAAGGGTGCTCGTTTGGAGTGGGAGACGAGGTATAGGATTGCGGTTGAGGCAGCCAAGGGGTTGTGTTATCTACACCATGACTGTTCGCCTTTGATTATTCACAGGGATGTGAAGTCTAATAATATACTGCTTGATTCGTACTATGAAGCTCATGTGGCTGATTTTGGGCTCGCCAAGGTCTTGCAGGAGGCTGGTGCGTCGGAGTGCATGTCGTCCATTGCTGGTTCATATGGTTACATTGCACCAGGTAAGCGATCATTCCTGCACTCGCATTTTTATTCTGAATTCATTGCCAGTGCCAGAGTTCTTTTCTCGGTAATTACTGCTCATTCTTAAGCTGAGGCTATTTCGGTAAAAATCTAAATCTATTCTTCAGAAAATTCTAGCTGACAAAGCAGTTCTTAATTTGAAAATTTAACCAGGAACTAATTCTCATTAGATTAGCCTTTTAGTTCTACATGGTTGGATGTAGCACTCCTGCAATCCAATCGCACCAATTAATTGGGTAACAAATTATATCTCAAAATAGGTCTAAATATCATTATTGTTATGCTTATAATTTAAAATATAACTAGTTCTCTTTATTTTCTGACGACCAATAGCCATTTCACTTGCAATGAATGAATGTGTGGGAGGTACTCCAGTACCTCGAACTGGATTTGGGCCTCTATTAGTCATCCTTTCTGTGTGTGGTGTTTAGATTGGTAGACTTCAGACCTCCAAAGCCAGTTACCCAGCTAATTGATATATAAACTAAACGTAGCCAACTTTAGAATGAGCTCTACTAGTAAAGCATCTTTTGTTTTTTTTTTTTTTTTTTTTTTTTGGGGGGGGGGGGGGGTGGGGGCGGTTATTTTATATTTGTTAGTTAAAATAAAGAGTTAAATCTTAAAATTTGATTTTAAAAGACTAATATTTGATTACCTATTTTACCTTTTGGTTAAATGGTTCTTTACGTTTAAAGAAAGTTTCTTTGAATAGCTATTTTAGATTTGGAGAGTTAAAGTCTGTCTTTTTGCACCCGAGGAGATTAATTATTTTTTTACATTTTGATTATGTGTCAAGTTATACAATATTTTTGACTTAAAATATTTGTAATAATTAATTAAAATAGAGAGTATGGTGGAAGTAAATTTTTCAAAGTGATTCTTTAAAATAAAAAATATAATATTTTAATATATTTTGAAAATACTATTAGAAATGCACTTACAATTTAATTTGGCAAATTAAGACATTGTAATTCTAATTGTGGGTATGAACATTAAATGGAGTTTTCTATAATTTAATGGCTAATGCGCATTCTAAATTAGGTATACAAATTAGTTACATGAAATAATGTTTGCTCTAGAAGTGAGTTCAATGACCAAAATATCATCCCATTTACCTATTTCTATTGAAGGTTTGCTGTTTAAAACAAACCCAAACAAAGAACCCAATCAAATGATTTCTGCTGATGCTTCACCATACCTTATGGTTGCAATCTTGGTTTTAATCTTGGTCAGCCAATTGGACTTTTTATCTGGGTTGGTCTTTTGTTTTTTTAGAGTAATGTAATTTGAACTTAAAAATTTAACCTCGTTTACTAAAATTGATGGTGTGATTTTATTGAAATTATTAGAAGAAGAGTAAATTTTAATGTTTGATGATCTCTACAATCAATTCAAAAGTTAAAGTCATAGTGAATCAGGTCAACAAATCAAGTTAAATTTTTAAATCTGAATAAATATTTCTGCTGTTTTTAATGTTTTAATGTTTGATCTGAGAGTGTTCGGGTTTGTTTACGTACACCTTGATTAATCTTTAACCTCGTTAAATTTTTTATGACTTGATTCTAAGAATTACAGTTTATCTATGTTATTACTCGAGTTATCTTGGGTTTAAATTTAAAAATTAGAATGATCGTTAAATGTCATTACAAAGGCTCGCTCGGATATGGTACATAATTTTTGTCTTTAATGAGTTCTTTCTGTTTTGTGTTGTGTAACAGAGTACGCCTACACTCTGAAAGTGGACGAGAAAAGCGACGTGTACAGTTTCGGAGTAGTGCTTCTGGAGCTGATCACCGGTCGGAAGCCGGTGGGGGAATTTGGGGATGGGGTGGACATAGTGAGATGGGTGAAGAAAACGACATCAGAAATCTCTCAACCGTCGGATGCAGCATCAGTGCTTGCAGTTGTCGATCAAAGGCTCATCGGTTACCCACTTACAGGTGTCATTTATCTGTTCAAGATAGCTATGATGTGTGTTGAGGAAGATAATCACTCCAGGCCCAACATGAGGGAAGTTGTTCACATGCTCTCCAACCCTCCCCAATCTGCCCCTAGCCTCCTCAGTGTCTGACGAACTTTTTGCTACTCCATGTTCTGGGCCGGTGTTTCTGAGTGAAACAACTAGGAAAAGTAAGCTTTAATAATTTGTGCTTCGGAGCCAAAGTCCAAAGGCCAAAGATTTGTAAGGGTGAATTGTGTAAGTTTTTCAATTCTGTTAAGTCTACGGAGCAATGTTTTTGTTGACTGTACATAACTATGGCCAATGTGCCATGTACCATGTACTACCAAGAAGGGTTAAGGAATGCCATCAAGCTTAGTTTTAATATACGTGTTGTGCAAATGTTAGTTATATGACCTCATTTGGTTAGCAAGAGTGTGTAAAAAATTGGGGAAAGCCAGAAAAAAAAAACAATTAACTTTGCGTTTATTTAGCATAAAACCAAAATTAAGATTTCTCGCAAAAAGACATGACACAATGTTGTTATACATCTCTAGATGATAAAACAGAAAAAATTCAGCATATTCAACTAATTAACGTGGAAACTATAGGGTGGACGGATGATTATATGTTATCTAGGATAATCAGATGTGTCTAGATGTATGTACATTGTATAGAGTTATACAATAATTGTTTCTGTAATTTGAACTTTTAATTTTACAGATCTTAATGAAGCAATGACTTTTCAGGCAAAATTTAAACAATGTCGAATATTAGAGTGAATTATAAATCAAATTCAGAAATTTAAGTTACCAAGTGTATGGCTTTTAATAGGTGGGACTGAGGAGAAAATAAAAAAGTATAATGTATCATTAGCATAAGCAGAAATGGTAGAAACCTTTATTTGCAGCAATAGTGTCAATTACATGGTTTTTTTGAAATCTTAGTTGTGTCGGTAGACTACAGTGGTATATTTTGCTCACATATCACACTAATGTTGATCATACATTTTGTGGGATTTTGGTATCCTTGACCAACTGCCTCCATAAGAGGTTTATCAGATGGTTGAACTACCACTAGACTAATTCCTTTGGTTAAAAGTGTCAATCATATTTGCAGATTGAGCAAATGCTATTAGGGTCTAATTTACTAATCTATTCATTCATAATTATTAGATTGACAATCAGTTTTAGTTTTCTTTAGGATTCACTATTAATATAATGGTTGTCATTCATTATATTAACAAATTGGGTTAAACTAGTGGATCTGTTCACAGTACAATCCAATGGGCCTAAAACTAACTAACAGCTTTCTAAGAGTGATCTTGGGCCTATCGGACCGACCCGAGAAATTAGGGCTTGGGCCGAAACAAGTTAAAAATCGTCCATAGTGCGGAGAAGAAATTCAAACAAAGATCTTTCCGCCATAAAACACCGCGATCGTAGTGTTCCAAGAGCAGAACCGAGGGAAGAGGGACAAGGCTGATAAGACTCAGTAGGAGAGAGAAAAATGGAGATGAAGAGTCCCTCACCCTGTCCAAACACGGTGACCGTCCGCCGAAACCCTCTCCGGAGGGCTAGGGCTACACCTTCCTCAGCCGTTCCTCTTCCAATTTCCCTTGCTTCATCATCCCCTTCTGTCCCATCAGACATTCCTGCTTTTCCGAGTCATGATATTCTCTCTATTGATCTTCCTCAAAACCCTAAACCCGATCTGGCGACTCTACCACCATCGCCCAAGAAAGATTCCCTTTCTGAGAATCTGAAGGTTTACCTCAGAATTCGACCCCTCATTACGCATCACGAATCCAGGAAAAATGCCAAAAATGGAGACCAAACATCAAAATTCAAAAATGCTTGGCCTAAAAACCCTAGATCGAAGAACATTTCAAAAGCCAAGGTAAAGAAAAACAGTGAAATTTGTTTTACAGTTAATGACTCGCATTCCGTGACGCTTTGCCCACCCCTGGCTATGCAAGATGTTAAACGAATCAAATCCGAGGTCTACGAGGGGTTTTCGCATGTCTTTTCCACTGATTCGTCCCAGGTTATTCAATTTTGGCCTTTGTTTTACGATTACTTTTTTTTTCTTCCAAAATTAAGTTAATGGCTAATGGTTTGAAATTCAAATTGTTTATGTAGAATGAAGTGTATGAAAAAATGGTGAATCCTATGGTTGAAGATTTTCTGAGGGGCAAGAGTGGAATGTTGGCTGCTCTGGGGCCAAGCGGCTCAGGAAAGACGCATACTATGTTTGGGAGTCCTAGGGAGCCTGGTATTGTACCTCTCGCTCTTTGTCGAATCTTCTCACAGACTGAAGGCAGTGGAACTCAGTCGTCAAGGTAACAAACACTATCTTGGATTTTTTTCAGACTAATAAAAGGCCGTTGATAATTTCTTGGCTCTTTGGTTTTTTTTTTTTTTTAAGGGGGGGGGGGGGGGGGGGTAAGTACTAATTTCATGGCCCTTACATGGCCAATATGTTATATTTTTTCAATCCAGCAGCAAGATCAACAAAGAACTGTAAGTGAGGTTTCAGATCAGTTTAAATTGTTTTATGCCTGATACATGACCACTGTATTGCATAATTTTGTCTATTGCTTCTCGTGATATGTACAGGACATTTTATCTATCCATGTTTGAAATATATTCGGAAAAAGGAAAATCCGAAAGGATGCTTGATTTATCCCAAGAAGGAGGTGACTTATTCATGCAGAACTCAACCATCAGAGGCCTCCATGAGGTTCCATACATGTTCTTGTTTTTTGCATCAGTTCAAACATTATATGATTCTTCTTTTTTCTCATGAAGTATTAACAATCTAAGTTTTTCTACTTGGTTCTTATGACAGACCATTATTAATGATTGTCAACAAGCCCAATCTTTGATTGCGCTGGGTATGATCAAACGGGCAACAGCCATGACCGATTCGAACAATCAATCTAGGTTGGTGGGAACAAAAATATGCATTTATTGGTTTTTCATCGATATTGAATTTTTTTGCCATCTTGTTTTTTAGCTACCTGATTTGCTATTCCTGTAGTGATGATCATATATTAATAGTTTCTCCATTAGGATTGTGGTCGCATGGTGGTTTTGTTGCTTTTGGTGTTTTAAATATTCAATAATCTTTTAAGATTTTTGTTTTCCTTGCAGCCGTTCACAATGCATCATTAATATCCGTAGTGGTTCCAAAAAGGTTGATGGAGAAGTTGATGGCCAGTTAAACATTGCTTCATTGACTATTGTCGACTTAGCTGGAGCAGAAAGAGAAAAAAGGACAGGGAATCAGGTTCTAGTCCCACTGTGTAATTCGACTGGATTGTGTTCTTAGAAATAGGGTAGTATTGACTGATATTATATGGGAGATTTGGTGATTTTAGCGCTAGATACATGCTTGAGATTGCGGTATCCTTACATGACGATTGTCCATGAGTTGAGCTCTTTTGTTGTAGAATCTCATATGTGTTTTTACTGTTCCCAGGGGGCTAGATTGCTTGAAAGTAACTTCATCAACAATACATCAATGGTTTTTGGTCTGTGTTTAAGGGTATGCAGCATGAACTTTGCTACACATATCTCACTATGGGGATGATTTTTGTCTTGGACAAATATAGAGGATATATGAACAAGACATAAATACAGATATATACAAAAGAGACATTTTTTGGTTCCTTATTTATGTTGTTTTGGTAGAGCATTTCCTCTCATGTAGTAGATACTTCTCCCAATCTCAGTCATTGTTGGAGCACCAGAAGAACCCCAAGAAGCCATTTCAGAAGCACTTCCAAAGCTCCTTGGTAATTCCTATCTCTACATATTGTTCTTTTATGTTATATTATGTTAGATTTTACTTCTTTTTCTTCTATAATTTGCACATTGTATTAGTTCAATCTTAGAATCGAGTTAAAGCTACAAATTGATTTGGGATGATTTCTTTTTCGCAAAAAAGAAAATAAAAATTTGAATGCTTGGCAGTGCTGGATCTGAATTTAAATTTACATTTGACAGTTAACCAGATACTTACGAGATTATCTGGAAGGAAAGAAGCGGATGGCTTTGGTATACAATTTTTACTTCCAACATTGGCATACTGTTGCTAGTTTTTCACATTGGACAAAGTTTCAGTTAATCTCATGAGTATCTTTGTATTATCTATTCTCAAATATCTGGCATTCTTTTTTTGTGGATTATTATTCCCAACATCATCAGCTTTGTTGATTGACCAATATATTTGCAGATTTTAACTGTAAAATCAGGAGAAGATGACTATCTTGATGCATCCTTTCTGCTTAGACAGGCGGCACCCTATATGAAAATCAAGTATGACACCTTTGTGACAAACCATTGATTTGTAGAGTTTTGCATACATACAATTTTCTGACAGCAATGCTCTTTGATGTAGATTTAATAGTACTGAAGAGCAGTCTAATTCAATTTACAACAAGAGGCATATTCAAACATTTCCTAGAATAGAGCAGCTTAAAAGAATGAAATTCAGCGGCCTTGAAGCTTGTGTGGTAATTCATTTTGACCTTTATCATGCAAATTATTTTGCATAACCATTCTATATCACGAAAAAAACCATGCTGTCAATTCAATCACATGGTTGATTCAATGCTGTGATTTATCTTTACAGTTTTGTCACAGCATGTGTTCATGTTAAATGATTTATCAGGGTACACACAGGGTCTTGATTTAGAGGCGTGTGAATTTCATAACTTTAGTAAGCATAGGTTTTAGTTGGTGTACTTTCATTTATCAATCTTGTTCATTTTAGGTTTTTCCTGTCAGGTTGGTGAAGGAAAGGTTATGGAGGGTACCAACTTCACAAAGAAGGTTGTTGAAAGTGTCTTTGTAATGTCTGTTTTATCTATTTTTTTGTTGTTCTCAAACATTGCACCACCCTTGTGTTGTTTACCTATTTTTGCAAATTAAGGGCAAAATGCAAAACCTTTTACTTGTTTTGGAACAGAGATCCCTCGGGAGGAGGTTAAACCTAAGAAAGTTATGGTTCCATATCGAAAAATTATTCATCTAGAAGCAGATGATGGTGTGCCTCTCAAGGAAGACTGCACTGAATTTGATAGCGAAAGAAAGAATAAGATCATGCAAGATTTTTCTAAAGCTTTGTGGAATGTCTTGAAGGAATACAAGAAAAACCTCGAGGTAATGAGCAGTTGCAATATCTAGTTTGGCATGATCTTGTCATTTCCATGGCGATATCTATTTGTGTTTGGATATCATCCATGTGCATTAATATGGTAATATGGTTATGGATTCAAGTTGTACATAGTGAAGGAAACATTCAGATCAAGTCAACAATTGTACATGTAAACAGGTGGCTGAAATTGAAATTCACAATCTTAGAGAGAGCCTAACTAATGAAAAAGCACGGAGTTTTGAGCTGGAAAATGAGCTGAAGGATTTCAAGTTAGGCTGTTCATGTTGGAAAGAAGCTTCAGCCGCGGTGTCCGTAATTGAAGCAGTTGGATTTGTAGAAAACATATCTCCAGAATCAAAAGGATATCAATCTTATGATGTCCAGCAGGTACCCAAATGGCATTTGTTTTTCCCTGATTTTGGTTCAAATTGGATTTCTCTTGCTTGGCTCCTTCCTTTTGCAGCCCAATGGTAGTGTTGTTTTCTATTTGCTGCTTTGGCAGTGTTCATTAACTTGACAATTTTGTGTTCAAGTATCTTTTAGCAGTCTGTCAAAAATAGCTCAGTTTCATGTTTTGACCTTGTGCACAGGTTAATAGAGAAGCATCTTCTTTAAACTTGAAAGAATCCGAACAGATTGACAATGACACAGTATATGATACCAATGTAAGGCAGGCATTTTCTTTTGTGTTTTGCTGGGACTGCTTGCCGTTTACATATTGAGGATTCTTTTCTTAACGATCAGGTGAGAGGTATTGATGTGGCTATTGCAGCAAGTGTTGGTGTTGAAAGCCTTGAAGACCAGTGCTGTCAGGTATAATAATATGCGTTCGATATGTATGTATTATTCTGTGAACTCGTGTCAAAAATCTCGGAAGCTGACTTATTTGTGATGGCATATTGAACAGACATGTGAGAACTCTATAAAAAATGCTGACGATGGTGAAGATTTCTGTGAACACTCTAATGGAAATTTTGAGGATGATGAAGATTTAAAGGACCTTAAAGAGGTGGACAGAACTAATACTCAATGTGATACCGAGGCAACAGATTTAAAACTGAAAGGATTTGAGGAAATTGACAATGAGCAATCATCTGATGGCATTGTAAGGCAGAAACCTTGTTTTTTTCATAGGTGTGCCTTTTGAGTGCCTGCCACGAACATGCTGAGGATACTTACCCTAATGTTCAGGTGAGAAGTTCTGGTGTGGTTACTGCTCCATGTGTTGGTGCTGAAAACTATGTAGAGCGATGTTGTCAGGTATATTGTGGGATTTGACTCGCCTAATGTTTGAGCGTGTGCATAAATATTATATGCAGGTATTTATACATATGTGCATGTATGTTCTGAACTTTACCTTAGTAATATGGAATTGATAATAATTCGACATCTATTTATTTATTTTCTAATTGGTATAGAGAAACTCGGAAACTGATTCATCTATTATAATGTACTGATCAGAATTACAGGAGCTCTACTGAAAATTTTGATGGTGGTGAAGACTCAATAGACTTGGAAGATATGCGACAAGAGGATTCATGTTCAATTGACAAAAGAATAGGTTTGCTTTCAATCAGTCAAATGCACGCACAAGGTTCCCTTTAACTGGGGCATATGTTCTATAAATCCATAATGAACAAGCACACAATCAGTCAAATGCACGCACAAGCTTTGATGTCATAGTATGAGGTGCTTCAACATGGTGTCATAGTATGAGGTGCCAACAAGGTTCCCTTTAACTGGGGCATATGTTCTATAAATCCATGTGATTGGCCATTAGTAAACATCAACTTTTTCTCAACACTTTACTTGTCCATTTTGCTACTTATTGGCACATAAAACCACCAAGTTGTGCAGCTTGAACCTCTGTTGGTTGGTTTTTTTGGATGGCTGACCTATCTATAAGTTGGAACATGCATCTTGGTTTTTGTGCTCTGTTACTGACAGCACACTCAGATTGTTGTCCTTCTGTACCTTTTTACTATAAATTCCAGGTTCAGGGCATTTAGACTCCATGGTCAGCTCTTCTCATCTGCATATCATACTAAGTGATGACACCTCTTCCTCACTGCAAAATGAAGAGAGCAAGGTTAATCCGACTCTTTTTGAACGTATATCTATAGTTGTGTGTCTCTTTATTTAAATACAAAGTACTGTTATCCCAGCTTAAAATATTCAAGCTGAACCCGTAACTTAGACATCAATATCCTGGTCTTGCTATCTTTGCCATGTAAAAGGCTTACTTTGGTTATACGAGACATTAAAGAGAATTTTCTTTTGCTTCATGGATCGAGGACATGGTGAAATCATTTGACATGATATTTATCTCTCTGTCTATCAGCTTAGGGCTCTTTTACTTCCGTATCATAGTAAAAAAAATCACTTAACAAAGTGTGTCATGACCCATTGACCTAGAAATCATGTATCTGTTTGCAGTAGCAGCATTAGCAATTCAAATAAGCTAAGACATTAACATCACTTCGCCAGTTCACTAGAAACCACTTGAAGAGAGTATTAGAGTTGTAACTGGAGCTTTCTTCATCAGAGTGGGCGTAAGCATAACCACATAGTCCTTATGAATCCTATTTTGGTCAATTACATGAATCCAATTATGCCATCATGCTCTATCCAACACCATATTTCTTGTTAAAAATTGATTTCGGTTTTCCTTTTGCCGCTCGCATTACCATCAATACATATTGACTGTTTACATTTTTGGGCTCCTTTGACGTTGTAATTGTAGTGACATTATAGATAAGATTTCTCTACCACTATAGAAGAGTGTGTTCTATAGACATTAAATTAGGGTGGGGCTATTCCCACCCCACAAATTTTTATTCCCACCTCATTTAATTTTTCATTCTCAAACTATTAAGTCCACTCCTTCTATACTCACCCCATTAGTAATCAAATCCATCTCATACTACACACACCCCAATAATAGTTAAGTTCAATTATTTTATGTACACTCTTTTAATTAAAGGAATCATCGTAAGAAAAAAATAATGAAAGAAGACGGTTAGTTTTAATGCATAAATATATTTACGAAATAAGAAAAAAAATAATCAAAAACAAAACAAGTAAAAAAAATCAAGCTAAGAAAAAGAAAAAAAAACAAAATAAGGAAAAAAACAGAAAGAAATGAGCAAATTGAAACAAGAAAGGAAAAAAAATCAAACAAAGATTAAAGGAACAAGCAACACTCTGAGACGCAAAACTGAATATGAAAAAAAAAATAAACATCAAGTATAGGTACAAAATCGAACAAGAAAAAAAATAACAAGTATAGATATAAAATCTTAACAAGATAAAAAAGAATAAATAATTTAAAAGTATACATATATGTACACATATATAAATTCTAAATAAAAAATTATTAAACTTGATAAAGATATCAAAGCATACAAACATGAAATTAAATATAGAATTAAATTGAGAAGTCATAAGAACTTGGATCTCACTGAAAAAATTCATATTGAAAAAGTGTTTTTGTGAGTGGATGAGAAGAGATAGAGAATAAAATTCTAATTATGACAAAATATAAAGTGGGTTTACTTATTAAAAGTGATGTATGTGGCATGGATGAACTTAGTTATTAATGGGGTAGATATAGAAGTCGTGAAGTTAGTAGTTTGATAATGACAAATTAAATAGGGTGGGAATAGAGATATGTGGGGTGGGAATAACCCCACCCATTAAATTATCAAGTGGTGAAGATTCAACCTGAGTTTGGTGATGAATATGAATTTTGATAGATGAAGTTTTTGGAGTTTCTGTGGAAAAATGTTGTCCTTTTATGCTTTAACTGTTCTGAAATTTACCACACAATTTTCGAAATGCAAGAACTAATTATTTTGCCTTTACGTTTAATTCAGAAATGCTTGGATCCACCAATAATCTTTAAGGACGATGTAGCATGTGCCTATGTCTGTGATGTGGAAGAACTTGAAAAAGAACCTCTTCCATGCTGCAAACCTATAAATGCAGAGAAACCGAAAAGGTCTGATTACAGTACATGTCTGATTTCTTGTTTGCTATTCAGTTGTTCTTCTAAATTATTAAACCAACTAATGTACCATTTTCCTTCAATATAAGCTCTTCTACTTTTGTCATCAATCAGGAGACTCCTACCAGCCTCATCCATTTTATTAAGGGACATCAGTGGTTTGGACTTTGAGGATGATAATGATAAGTCAAAGGTGAATAACAACTTCTGTTTTACTGGGTTCCTTCTATTCAATTCCGCTCTCAACGTGTTTGTTGAGTTATTAACAACAAGCATGAGCTCAATTTAAGGGAATGCTTTGGATATAGTAAATAATGACATCCTACTAGTATAGGAAGATTGTTCTTCCTTCAACAACTGCTCCACCACTACCCCTCCCCCCTAACACAGACACCCCCTCTCTTTCCCTTTAGATGGATTTGTACATGCTTCTATATTGATACCCACTTCACCACAGGCAAAATTGATGGAAGAATTTTGTTCTTGATGTGCTTTTCTAATGTTTATATGTCCCAATTAATATGTCAATTATTCACCAACGAAAGAACTGATTTTTCAGGTAAGTAGACTAAAAAAGAAATTGGCTGCTGATGAGACAAAAAGAACTCAGGGTAGTATATCTCTTCTTCGTTTGCTTAAGCAATCTTCTTCATCTGTAGTCAAGTTGCTTTGACGACTCTAAATTCGTTTGTATGGTTGGTGCATTGTCAATTTTGGGCTAATTTAGTACGTAATTGTATATACCTTCGTAGCAAAGGCAGATGTGATTCAATATTTCTGGAAGGGTGGTTGTATATTCTGATAGTAACAACTTGGACTACTGTTTGAATGCTTTCAGAAAATGAATGTGTTACCAGTTTTATCATTATTGTTGGACTGGATCTGCTCCAAAAAAGATGTCCAATGAAAAATCTTCTAAGCAGTTTTACCAAGGTGTTCTTGGTTAAACATAAGTATTGGCAGGAGGGCTGATCATGAGCCGGGCCTCTCTGCCATATTTTGTCTAATTGTCTGGAAAGCATTCTGATATTTATGGTCACTTTATTGTTTTCCGCTTGTTTGACAGTCCACGCATTGTTTTTGATAAATTAAAAAAATACTTAAAATATGGAGTAACAAATATATTACATTTAATTTGTATGTCATTTGATAATCAAATTTGTTTCATTTAATTGGTTCCATGGATGAAAATTTGATAATAAGAGACGAGTAAATATTACAATTGATGCAAAATGTTTGTTTTGAATGGAAGGAGGTATAGTAGGGTCGACCTTAGAGCTGGACTATTAAAATAGTTGTTGGGTTTCAAAATTTTAGGACCTTAATTTAGTTTTGTGAAAATTGAGGTTGAGTCCTTATTTCAAGAAAATTTATTTGGTTATAAGTTCGTTTTTTGATCTTATTAATAAGTAATTAAATTCACAATTTTTTAAAAACTCCAATGTATCATTTATATAATGTTTCAATAGAATTAAATGTTAATTTTGTTTCCTAATTGGGAATGCTCAGATTTTTTATCCCTTAATTTTACCCTTAAGTCAAGTTCATAAGATTTTTTTAATAAAATTTGAAATTTGAATTCAAGAGACCATTTGTTTGTTCTTGCCAATAGAAAACCTAGAACCTCGTGTTACTAGCAAGCCGTTATATTATTCAAATTCATCCCTATCAAAATATTATGGTCACAATGTTAATGCTCAATTCCCTTCAATCTGAGCAACAAAGTAACTAGTGCCACATGGCACAAGTCCATGGCCAGCAAAGAAAATCTAGTGGTCGAACAGTCGAAGTTAGCATCATTCACCAAATCTTTGATGGCATTCATAACTTTTTCTGAAAAGACTTGTTTGGTGGAACTAACGCACCACTTCCACCATAATCATCTTCTCTCTCTTTCTATATATAAATTTACCACGTGATTATTTTTGTGAGTATATTATTATTTTTATTGAGCATGTGTATATTATTATTTTTATTGAGCACGTGTATATTATTATTTTCTTAAATATTAATACCTAATGTTATTATTTTTTTGCTTTTAAATATTCTTATTTTTTTTATTTAAATGTTACTTTTTTTTTATATTTAAATGGTACTATTTTTTTACATTTGAATGATACTATTTTTTTTCATGTTACTATATGTATATACTAGTCATAACCCGTGCCTGAAGGCACGATAAAATATAAAATTCAAGCGTCCAAAAAATTGATCATATATATTAAATTTTTTAAAAATATATTAACTAAAAATTAATTAAATATTAAATGATTAAATTTATGATAGAAATGAGTGGTGTGATATTTTTAGAAAATAAATATATAAATGATTAAATATGTGATAGAAATGAGTGATATGATTTAACCTATGAGTCTGACAAAAGGATGATGTGTAAAGTAAGTAATTGATGATGGTTTTGAGGGGGAAAATATGACTAGGATAAAATTCAAACACACTTCTGTTTTATTATATAGATGTGTATGTATGTATGTGTGTGTGTGTGTATAAATATATATATATATATAAGTATCTTACAATTCAAATTTTAAAAAATAAAAAAAATGACTTTACTTTTCACAGTTCAGATCACTTTAAATTTACTTTAAAGTTAATCTAACGGTTAATATTAACACCCTAAATTTAATAGGAAAAATATGACTATAAGGGTGTGTTTGGAGTGACTTTTTAATCATACTTCTAAAAATTATTTCTCATAAGTACTTTAAAAAAAATAGTGTTGAAAACCGTCCCACCACCGTCTCCACTACCACCACCGCCGCCACTGCTGCCACCACCACCATCACCGTCGCCACCACCACCGCCATCACCATCGCCGCTGTCGCCACCACTGCCATCGCCGTCGTCGTTGCCACCATAGTCATTGTCACCCACCACAATCATCACCGTTTTCTACCACCATCACTGTCGTCCACCACCTCTCACCCCCACTACAACCAATACTTAAATTCATTTATCTGTCCTCTATGTTTGTGAATTGTGATTTAATTTTGGAAATGAATATAAATATGTTTATTATTTATTATTTTTTTATTACTCTGTGCCTTCAGACACAGGCAATAACTAGTCTATATAATAAAGTATTTTATAATTCAAATCTCAAAAGATAAACAAAATGACTTTTGTTACTCGCAGTTGAGATTGCTTAAATATTACTTTAAAATTAATCTAACGGTTAATATTAACACCATAAAATTAATAGTAAAAATAGGGCTTTAAGGGTGTGTTTAGAGTGACTTTTTAAAATTACTTTTAGAATTTATTTTTCATAAATACTTTAAAAAAAATAGTGTTTGAAATCGCCCCAACATTACCTCTACCACTACCACCCCCACCAACAACAACACCACTGTCGCCGTCGTTACCACAACCGCCGCTGCAACCACCACGATCACCATCACCATTACACCCATCGTCGTCGCCGTCATCATCACCGCCCCTGCCACCACCACCACCGACACTGCCACCACCACCACCACCACCATCACCATCACCGTCACTACCACCATCACCACCCCCCTCTATCACCATCACCACCGCCACTACCACAGCCTCCACCACCGCCACGCTCACCACCACCACCGTCACCGTCACCACCACTGTCACAGTCGCCTCCATCACCACCACCACCACCACCATCGTTGCCGCTGCCCTCGCCCCCACCACGGTTATTGCTACCCATCACAACCATCATCGTCTCCAACCATCACCACTGCCGCCCACCGCCTCTCATCCTTACTACAAACCGATGTTTAAATTCATTTATCTTTTCTCTATATTTGTGATTTGATTTTAGACATGAATACAAATATGTTTATTGTTTTTCATTTTTTTTTACTTTGTGCCTTCATGCAGAGGCAATAACTAGTATAAAATAAAGTAGCTTACAATTCAAATTTCAAAAGATAAACAAAAATACTTTTGCTATTCGCGATTCAGATTGGTTTAAATTTTACTCTAAAATTAATTTAACAGTTAATATTAACACTCTAAATTTAATACGAAAAATAGCCCCTTAAGGGTGTATTTGAGGTGACTTTTTAAAAGTACTTCTTGGAATTATTTCTCATAAGTACTTTAAAAAAAATAATGTTTGAAACCGCTTCACCACTACCTCTATCACCACGACTGCCGCCACCACCACAGCCGCCGCTGCCAACATCATCACCGCCGCAACCGTCGCCGTCATCTCCACCACCACTATCGCCACCACCGCCATCGCCACCACCACCACCGTTGTCGCCGCCGCCACAACCACTAACACCACCACCAATACCATCGTCGTCGTTTCCACCACCACCCCTACTACCACAGTCATTACTACCCATCACAACCATCACCATCTTCTAGTACCACTACTGTCGCCCACCACCTCTCACCTCCATTATAATTGATGCTTAAATTTATTTATATCTCCTCTATCTTTGTGATTTGATTTTAGATATGAATACAAATATGTTTATTGTTTACTATTTTTTATTACTCTGTGTCTTGAGGCATATAAAATAGAATTTTATTGTTAGTCAAACTCCTAATTAGTTTTCAAATTTATTTTTATTAAACATAACTAATATGGGGTATTTTGGACAATGGAAATCAAAATAGATTTAATATTAAACAAGTTTTCTTGAAAGATTTATTACCAAATAAGTCCATAAAAGGGGATTGGCCTCCAATTTTTTTAAAATTTTTAACCCTTAGTTTAGCTCTATCTTCTGAAACTTCAAGTTAAAGACTCATTATATTTCACAAATATATCTAAAATTTTATACAAAAACTTAAAATATAACAATATTTTACTAAAGCCATATATAAAGTTCTAAAATATAACAAAACTTTCTAAAAAATCTAAAAGTAATGATTTCTATCTTTAAAAGTAACAATCTCTTTCAAATTTTTTTCTCTCCTTCCCACTTTCGTTTTCTTGCTCTAGTTTTTTATCCTTATCTCTAGCTCTCTTATAGTCTTTTTAAGATTTCATTTAATTTATTCATCTATAACATTTTGACTTTATAATTGTACTCAATTTATTATTTGATCCCACTTAATTCAAAAACCATTAAAATATTAAAAATAAATCATACCGTAACTCTAATAATAGTAGGGGTGCAACTTGGGCGGGCCAACTCGAAAAAACAAAGCTTGAGTTAAAATTTAATAATTGGGTTGAGTTTGGATAAAAAAACTCCAATCCGAACTGAATTCGAACAAACCTCGGGTTGAGGCCACTAGTTGTCAGGTTCAACTCGAATATTAAAATTGGGTTAAACCCAAATATACATAAATATATTTAACTAGAGTTAATTTTTATCTTCACTCTTTAGAGTCTAGAAAGTCTTCACCCCTTGCGCCTCCATCACTCTCAGATCCCTCTTTCATTCATCACTCGTCTCTCATCTCTCATCTCTCATCTCTCATCTCTCATCTGGTCTCAGACTCTCTCTCTCACTCGTCTAAGTCTCGTTTCAAACTCTCAACCCCCTTCTCTCACTCATCACTCCTCTCTTTCTTAGCCTCTTTTTCTCAATTATCACTCGTTTGAGTCGTCTCATACTCTCAACCCCTCTCTCTCTCTCTCACTATTCACTCTTCTCTCTTTTATCAACTCGAATTAACTAATTCGAGATCAACTTGATTTCTAACTCGAAATCAGTCCAAATTCAACCTGAACTCGCACGAATTAAATTCGAATAGTACTCGGGTTTATTGGATTAGGTTGATCTCTCAACCTGCCCGAGTTTTACCCCTAAATAACAGTTAAAAAAAAATATTATCTCATGTGAATTTCTCGTTTTAGGCCCAATTTGTGTTGGGTCACCCTTGCTTCAAAGCAATACTTGTTATCCCAAACTCTTTATATAGACAAATTTAATTGAATTGTTAAATCTCTTTATACAACCAAACGTAGGGTTGTGACTACGTGGTACAAACTAATTCATATTAAATTTATCAAAATTCACAGTAAAACTCGTTGTGTTTGACTGGGCAGCAATTTAACAATCCTTGTGTACGCAAACTTAGGCTAGATCAATGCCAAGAAAAGAAAAGATAGTGTATTTGTCATATTTGCAGATATATATATATATACACGTAAAATTATCACTTTAAGATATAAGAGCAAGATGAGGGTGAAATACCTTACGTCGTCTTCGAGGCTTCTGCAAAGTCGATCATAGATTCAGTTAGGCTTGGAAGGAAAAAGAGAGTGTGGGTGTATGATTGCGAAGAAAGGATTAGGACATAACGATGGAGTGGAGAAAAGGCTGAACGGTATTTGTAGACAGTTTAGACAATAACGCATTGCTTGGTGCCGTTTGCGCCGATGATATTGGGAGAGGATTCAAAAAATGAGAAATTACAGTTTATACCCTTAAAATAATACATGCCGTTTGCGCCGAAGAAATTGAGAGAGGGTTCAAAATATGATAAATTACAGTTTATACCCTTAAAATAATACATGTTGACGGGCCTGGCTCAGACCATGTTCAGATCGGAGATGTAGACCAGGCCCAAATTATATATACATAACAACAAAAATCCAATATTATACATACAGAACAACAAAAATTCAATAACAATCGGTAAGTAGTCAAGCCCGCTTTTCTAAAAGGCCTAGTCCATCGTCAATTCACGTGAAAGTCTCCATAGAAAAAGAAATTATTAGTACACGGTTATCAGGGACACATCATTAGTCCCACAAAATTATCTAGCAAGATTATCTCGCCTGTTACAACAAGATAGAGCGAGCTTTAAGGGATCACCCCTCTATCACGTCACTTGTTACAAGAATAAAATGAGATTCACAACATTCTCATGTTCTTGGTGAGAAAAGCAACTCAATCAAAGTCCTCGGAACCAATTTTGTCTGTTTATAAATTGTAAACCCTGCCTACACATAGGAGGCATCTCACATATCTCAACACACTACACCTCTTGAATAATAATATGCTCCGGCCACCGTCGTCATTCTAAGTGGAATAAGTCACTCAGACCAAACTGTATAACCTTTGTATTTGCTTATGGTGAGTCCTCTTTAGTTCATCTTTGATTGATTTTGCATAAACTCACTTTTGTGTATCATCACATGTAATTCCTATTTAGCTCTTTAAAGTGTCGGTTACAATAATCAAATCCCTACAATTTAGTCCTTATATTCAAATCACTAACTTATTCTATTGGAATAGCCTTTGTCACCAACACGACTTAAAAAAGACTCAAAAAAAAAGTCGATGAGAATTTGAAAAATATTATGAGATAAAAAGACAAATATCAATGGTCAACTAATTGGAGTCCTTTTATCAAGTCAATTAAATATAATTAGACGAAAAGATCAAAATAAATATCAAAAAAATATTAAGTTAATTTTTACAATTAGAAATTTATTGACCAAATAAAGACTGCATAAATTGGAATTGCCCTTAGAATTTTTGTTCACAACTCACAATGGTTTTGGTACAAACGTTGACGTGGTCCCTATTTTCTCGCGGCCTTTGCTGACGTTTGGCCCGTTTTGTTCCCCGTTTCTCTAATTTTTCTTCCCCATTTTTCATTTTTCCCCTTCGTCTGGACAAACGGCTTACCCCGTTTAGTCCCCAGAACTGTTTTTTTTTTTTTTTTTTTTCTGTTTTAACAGTCAAGGTATCCAAAACAACTTTCGAACACCTCGACCAATGGGTAAAGTGGGATGGAAGGGGTAGTAGTGCAAGGACACAAACGTTGCTTTCAAATCAGAGATGCCTCTGCCCTTGAACTGCAGGTAGGAGCAATACGAGCATACAAGCTTGTTCTACTACCTTGGACTTGTCCTCTGTGAACCTCCGCGTTATTGACTAGGAGTCAGGTATTCATCACTAACCAGCGGGATCACACCATTTCTCATTTCGTGTAGGCAAATTAAAGAAAGAACATTTGAGATCAAACTAGATACAAAAGAACAGAATCACAACATCTATAGCACTAAATCTGTTCCAACTGAAAACCAAGTCAGAAACCCCTTGAGCAACAACTCAGTTGAACCTCATAAATTTTCTGGTCATGAATCATAACATCTAATTCATCACACAGTTCATTATGTTGTTTGGTTTACTATGACAAAGCACAAACCTCAAACATTATATTCCAAAACAGTCACCGAACAAAATAATTTCAAGTCCAACAAGAAGCACTTGCTCAATTGCTCCATATTATACTTGAACATAAGATGGGCACAGGGGAAAGCGCCAGCACCCCCCCCCCCCCCCTTTCTTTCCTCCTTTCTCTGTCTAGCCTACTTTATGGAAGATGTCTCTTCCTCTACTCTGGGCAGATTAAAGGAAATACAGAAATAGATTATATTGTAGCAGCAAATCCATCAGCAATGCATCAAAAAGCCACCTATGTCATCAATCTTAGCCGGTGAGTTTAAAAATTCATATAATACACAACATCACATTACGAATTTCATTCAAAGTACATAGTTCAACTGCACGAAAGCACGCAACTCTCATTAAAGTCCAATAGCATAGTCCATAACAAACTGATTCTATATATTCAGATGGTGAACAACTATAAATTGTCACCATCTATTAGGAATTAAAAATTACCAACTGCCCTAGATACACTAAAACGGTAAAACTTGGCTTAAGCTTAAAAAGCAAAAAACTCACTGCCAGGATAGCAGTAAAATCTGGCAGTGATTCCACATATGACATAGCAGGAATGCCTTCCAATTTATCCACACCTGATGGTAGATCTTTAGAGTCGAAGATCTTTTGGCAATGTAAGAATCTTACAAGCTCTGTGGTTATCAAGTCATTGTCAAATGCCTCAAACACACTCTATGTATATATCTCATAATTTACAATTGAAAAGAAAAAAGTTAACAGCCTTCTAATGTGAATTTCCCTCCTCTTTCCACAAGGGTATCTTCCCATGGAGGTGGAAGTGCCTGACCTATGGATTAGGGTTTAGATATCATATCAAATCACAAAACACCGAACACATCAAGCTGGCTTTCCAAATAATATTATTCAGGCATTCAATGCTCTAATCTCCAACAACAATATTCCGTGTGGCAAATCAAAAGTTCATAATGCTACCAAACAAACATATAACCACTGCAGACGAAGTCTGTTTCATTTGAGAAGAAAAAAAATGAAAACCTTATATCCTCAATGAAAATTGTAGGAATATGACATACAGGACTCAGAAATAAATCTAAGATGATTTGCATCTTGTCCAAGCATATAATTGCCATGCCTTAGCAAGTTCCTAAATCCTAACTACAACAGGCCTGGGTCTACACTTGGTCATTGCAATTTTCACTTGTCAGCTCTATATCTGCCACAAGTGCATTGCTTTACCATTTAATCATAGGAGATATAAAAACCTGCAATACTGATAACTGAAAAGCCAAGTCCCTACTTCGATAGGCAAAGCTGGTGCCACTCGAGCCCAACATAACTGCCCTCATCTAGTGAGGCAATAGCATAATTTTGAAAGAGCCACATGAAATACCATCCAAAATCAATGGGAACAATATGGATGCCAAATTACAATTGACCATACCATGCAAATGTATCAGTATACCAAGCTACCTTACAAAGTTGTTGCATGAATTCTGCTCCACTATTCTATTGCACCAAGTCTTGCTTCATTTTTGTACTACGGTAAGCCATGTCCTTGATCTATTTCCGAGATATATAACTTCTACCACCACTATTATTGTTTAGAATTCTTACCGATATCATGTGTTTGCTGCTAAACTCTTTTATTAACACTATTAATTCTATAACCTCGGTAATGAATTATCCCATCATAACAAGTGACAAGTTACCAAGTACTGTGCATTCATTAATACCACAACAATAAAGAGGAAAGAACAAAGGAAAACTCAGTTGTTCAAATTGCAAATATTATTTACATTCAAAAAAGCAAAGAAAACATATTACAATTTATTCAACTAATCCACAAGCAGTAAAAAGTTCAATGCAAGGAAAACCTAAATCTAGACAATGAAAAGAAAGTTGCAGGAATTGCAAGCTTACCACAAAGTATCAGTCAAATCCATAATTGTATCCACTAGAACTTGAAGCACCACTACCTGCAGTCCCCATTGACCTCTTCTTCCTCTCCTCTTCATACTCTGGATCATCTGTCGGCAACTCAAACCTACACACTGGGCAAGAATTCCTCGAACCCAGCCACGGCACAATACAGTCGTCATGGTACCCATGTCCACATGGCAATTTCTTAGCCACCTCTCCGATACGCATCGAATCTTTACATATAGCACAAACCAAAGCCTCCGCTTCTACTTTAATCTCCACCGTCTCCAACGCCGACACAGCAGATTTTGCAGCCGGCGGGGCCCCTCTTCTTCCGTTTTCACTCTCAGCCAAGTTCTGCAACAGCGCCTCGTATCCAGCTGCATCCACGTAATCCCCTGGATTCCCCATATAGTCATCCATTTCCGGAATTTGTAATCGAAACTCGATCGAGTGGTCTTCTAGTCTCATTAGAATGTCCGCCCAGTCAAGTACCCGGTTCCGCGCAGCCCGAGCAGCAAAGTCCCGAAGCCTTACCCTAAGCAAATCCCGTCGCCTTCTCCGAATTTCCTCTTCGTCTCTCTCTTCCCGATTCTCATTCTCCCCATGAATTTCAGTCTCATCATCATCGGATCGATCTTGATTCTGTTCATCTCCTACTGGTTCATCTTCGTTTTGGACTTCAGCCTCATTTTCATCGTCTTCGTCATCGTTGTTGTCCCAGCCACCGAATTCTATACGAAGATAGTCATCATCAGATGGATCTGCGTGTTCTGATGGAGGTGGAGGGGGCGCATCGTCATCACGGGCGACCTGGGCGACGAGCCGGAGTACTTGAAATAACTGATTTTCAAAAGAGGGCTCGTCGATCTGATCGGAGGCTCGTCGATTTGGGGCTAAAGTGGGAGGAGCCGAGGTCCCGATGGACTCGACGAAGCCGTTCTTGCACTCGTGGCAGATGACATCAGGGAGATCGGCTAGGGTTTCGACTGCCACTCGCTTATTGCATTGATAGCACCAGTATTGTGCCGTCTCGGTGTTTGATTCAGATGTTTGTGTCTGAATCGATGGCTGCTGTGCTGAAGTTTCGTCCATCTAGGTCTTCGATTTGGCTGATAAAGACCACCGAGGAAATGGAGAGGACTCGGAGGAAGGAGAGAGAGAGAGGGGGGGGGGGGGGGGGGAAGAATGACATCAGGGAATGTGAGAATTCATGCGTTTTTATGGCGACTGTATCCGCAAATAGGAGCCGTTAGATGGCAGTGAGAGTTTTGCGATGTGGACTTTTAGGGTGTTTATTTATCCGTCGGTAAATGATTATTTATATTACTTTAAAATAGTACCAACATACACCAAAAAATACTTCTTTTTTTCCAGTTCTACCCTCTAACACCATGACTATACTATATTTATCCTCCAAAATTTTAATGCCCACCCCTTTGTCCATCTTTCATCTTTCTCTCCTCGCTTAATGTTAATTAGTCTTTTCATTCTCCACTATTACGATAATACTCTCTCTCCTTCAAATGTAACGTCAATTGAATTTTTGTTCTCCACATCTCTCTCTGTCTATTATCTCTCTCTCACGCACACACAATTGAATATGCATTTGGCTTTCATCCTCCATGTTTTTACAATTAATTCACAGGCGATTCTTGCTTCCACCTGTTACCAATCTGAATGTGAATAATTTCATACTTACACATTTTTTCCCTTTCATATGTTACCGTGTAATTCAATTAGGTCACTTCTTTTGCATCTCTTTCCCTATAAGACGTGCAAACCCATTCTGTATTGCCGTTGCAAAACTAGCGGCATAGCTCTTCGCTAGGTACTATTTTTTTGGGTGAATAACTCTCCATCATGAGATTAGGAAAATCATAAAAAAAAAAAAAAAAAAAACCTGACGGCAAATTATTTCCCTTCTTCTTGGGTTGGAAGGCCCTCATTTTTCAAATGTATGTGTGTAAGTGATTTTATGTATTTGAATGCTATCAGGTAAGAATTGACAACAAATTTATGACATTTTAGTTTTTCAATTCTTCTATTGCTTATATATATTTTTTAGTTTTAATTTGGGGGAGTGTTCATGTGATTGATTTAAGGTAGTGCCTTTTTGTTTGCATTTAGGGTTATTTGTTCATAATTTTGGATCAATGCTTGTTTCTTTGAGAGATTCCTTTTGAATTTGTTTTGAAAGAGTGTTTGTTCATCATATATGTTCCTCTGTTACTCACAAATATGATACTTTACTGTGAAAATATTTCTAGCTTTTGCCCGCTTGTGGTTTCTTTGTGTGTTTATGGGTATTTGTTGGTAAATATGAAAGATATTGACTAAGATTACAATTACCACAAGATGCACTCTGTGAATATTATGCTTAGTTTGTAGTTTCTGAAGTTACCTGTCATTCAGTAGTTAAAAGAAAAGTGATTGAATTGAATACTCGAATTTGTGATAATATAATTTGTAAAAAACATATTTTCAGATGGAATTTTAAGTTCTTGGTGAAATTTGTTCAAATGGGGAGTGAAAGACGAGGGAACTCCTAACATTGGTAAAATAATCTTGAATATTTATCATAAATTTTAATTTTTGAGCTACAAATTTGCTTGTTCTATGACATTGATATCTGAAAAATCATAAAAAAATTATTAAACCATCTCCAATTGTAAAATAGGTTTTTTGTGCATAAAAGAAAACCTGCCCCACGTTTGTTTACCAATATCATTAATTCATAATTTACTTGTGAATTGGTTAGTTTAATGGATGTACTTCTTTTGTGAATTAAGCATATGTTTTCTCTATTCTCACATGGTGTTGCTCAGTAATATGAATAGTTTTATGTCGTCTGCCTCCTCCTTTTCTTTCTCTCCCCTTTCACTTATTCTTTACCGAGTCCTTTACTCTTTGAGTTCTGGCTAACCCTTTTCTGTTCTTATCCTTATTCTTCCATATCTCATACTGGAAGTTTATCTTGCTGTCTTGCTTTAAAATCATATTTTAAACCATTGAAACCAATCCTATAACATTAATTTTCTGTCTCAAATCCCTGCTACATTAATTGCTCTTCGTTTCTTATCTGTTACTACTCAAGCCCTTACTTCAACACCTTACTAAAGTGCTGAAATCTCTATTTTTTCCTACTTCAGTCTTGTTTTCTTCCCAGGGAAAAAAATGCCCTCATCTATTTTCCTCATGCCCTCACAATGACTTAACTAGACTCAAATCACACCTTCTAAATTTAAGAATCCATCTCTGTGTGGTTTAATCATTTGCATTTCATTGATTTGTCAACCTAAAACCATATTCCTTTTCACGACTTTGGGATCAGTCCTTTTGGATCAGGTTAATAAGTATGAATAGATGGTGCCCAGCAACAATCTCCTCTTTGGAAAAATTGAAAAAAAAAAAAAAAAGAACAAAACTAAATAGACTTGATGACGAGATCGAATTTTTTACTACAACTTCCCATCACGTTCCTTCATTTCTTGTTTCTCTTTGTTCTAATGATTCAGACTAAATTTAGGAGAAAGTTCAAATTAAAAGCTGTCTAATTTAGGAGAAGATTTTAAAAGAATGATTACAAATACCATTCGCTGCGAGACTATTATGAAGACTTCTTTGTGATAGAATGTGCACCACATTAGATTAATGTCATGTAAAGCACGATAGATTAATTCAATTTTTTGTTGGATGTTTGAAACAATTTCTGTTTGGATTACTGTTTTCCTTTTCTGAAAACTTAAATTAATTTTTATTATGGTTCTCATATTAGGAATTAAACAATTCCAAGGAGTTTATTTCATTTTATGAGGAAACAATGCCCTTGGTATGAACACTTACCACAAATAATGCAGAAGGAATTGATACATTCGAAGCTTCTTCATAGATTTCATTTGAAATGGAGGCTATCTATTGAGTTGTTACTCAGGTATGTCAACATGTACGATTGGTTCATTATGTAACGGATCGGATATGAGCAAGAATGGAAAGAAAAGTTTGATTAAACATGTTATTTTGCTATTTTATGGTATTTTTGTCCTTTTTCTGTTTGTCATTTTTATGGGTTCTTTGGTATTTCTAATGGTACTTCCTCAAGTGGATGTTACTGAGTATCCTTATCATTTCTTCAAACTCCTACTCCTTTATTCAGAAATATATATATATGTGTGTGTGTGTGTGTTATGTGTGCGTGTGTGTAGTTATATCTGGTCATCCTACTCTTTCTTTTGTTGTACAAAAGAGACAAAGATAGAGATGAAATGGACATCAAAGAGAGACAAATCTAAAATGAGGGTAGTAATTGGTAGTTTGACAGTTAGAGAAATGGACTGGGAGTTGCTATTCTGAGCTTCTATTTCAATGCATCACTGTGTTATGCGTAACACAATTTCTTCATTCTTCGTAATTTTGACTTTTTTCTTCCTAGAAAAGGAATGAGAAATTTTCTCCATTGGTAGCATGCAATGTGGATGGAATGGATTAAGTTTTTTTTTTAACTGGAATAGATTAAAACTAAGATAGATAAAAATGTCAGTATCTCTTGCTGATTGATTTACTCACTAGCTGTTGATGAGTTATACTATCTGTTGAGAAAGCCTTCTTGGTATTATAACATTACTTTTGTCTTAATTTCTTTCTCAGATTTTGAATGAATTTAGTCTTACTTTTATGTCAAAATAAATAAACACAAACTTGTTAATTACATAAATCATAGTTCACAATAATTCACGTATGCACCAACTAGTATATATAAGGACGGAGAAAATTTCCAGTGCTCACTAGACACGAATTGGTGGTGATGGATATTATGCTATGCTATTATCTATAAAATATTATATATTTGTGATGGATTTACTCATTAATTATTATTATATATAAAAATCTTTTTAAAAAATTAATATTTGTGTTTGGCTAATAATTTTTTATTGAGTGTGAATATACTAAATAACACTGTTGCGTAATACATAGTAAACATTGAATATTATTTTCGTAATAACATCTTTTGTAATTTTATTTGAATTTAGGTTCTCTATATTTATCATATATATGAGTGAATAACATAATTATGTGTCAAGTAATAGAATTTTAATAAATAAGTCTATGAGTCACAATCACAATAATACTGACACTGTCACTGTCACATCATTAACTTAATTTTCTAGATTTCAATAAAATTACTCAACTTTAAAATCTCAAGTTTAATATCTGAGTATTATCCGTATATAAAGTTTTGTACACGAGTTAAACTCGGGTTATATAGTTCGAAAATGATATTTAGATTAATTTTAGTTTTTGATTCTTGTATACCACAACTCAACTGGACCTAGTTTAATGTGCAGGTTCTACATCAAGTTAGAATCTCTCAATTATGTTTATAAATTATGTTTCAATAGTATTGTTGCCTACTACTTATTATTTAATACAAAAAATACTAGTAAATAAGGATTTTATAAATTTATCATAATTTACAAAAATATATCCTCAAATAACTTGATCTCAATCCATTTCAACACCCACCATTGGCACCATTGTCTTTGTTGTCATCACCAGCAACACCAACATCAGTACTGCCACCACCACCACACTACTACTGCCACCAACCACCTTGGTCCCCTCCACCGCCATGACCACCACTCCACCATATCCATTACCACTACCATAACTACGACCATCTTGCCACCGCCACCACCCTTATTGCCTTTATCATCCACATCGTCATTGCCACCATTGTCGCCACTACCATTGTCATATCTATCACTATTACCATCACCACCATTACTATCACTATCACAACCACCACCATTGTAACCATACCACCACCACTTACCTTTGCTTCTCTACCACCACAATGACCACCATCATTCCACAATATCTGCTATCCCTACCATCATCACCCATCGCTGCCACCAATGCTACTATCTCTGCTACCACCTCTCACCTTCTCCCCCATTATCAGCACCATCACTCCACAAACCCTACTTCACTGCCTACCCACTTCCAATATTACCTTCAACATGTACCATTCTCACCAACCAACCAACCACCACAATTATTGTCACCGTCATCTTTCATCACTCTTCACCATTATC